CTTTTCCCTAGGAACTTCTGACACGCTCTTGATGTTACGCTTTGCACTTTTCTCTAGGAACTTCTGACACGCTCTTGATGTTACGCTTTGCACTTTTCTCTAGGAACTTCTGACACGCTCTTGATGTTACGCTTTGCACTTTTCCTTAGGAACTTCTGACACGCTCTTGATGTTACGCTTTGCACTTTTCCTTAGGAACTTCTGACACGCTCTTGATGTTACGCTTTGCACTTTTCTCTAGGAACTTCTGACACGCTCTTGATGTTACGCTTTGCACTTTTCTCTAGGAACTTCTGACACGCTCTTGATGTTACGCTTTGCACTTTTCCTTAGGAACTTCTGACACTCTCTTGATGTTACGCTTTGCACTTTTCCTTAGGAACTTCTGACACGCTCTTGATGTTACGCTTTGCACTTTTCCCTAGGAACTTCTGACACGCTCTTGCTGTTACGCTTTGCACTTTTCTCTAGGAACTTCTGACACGCTCTTGCTGTTACGCTTTGCACTTTTCCCTAGGAACGTCTGACACGCTCTTGATAGGATTCTACTTCTTTTATTTTACCTATTTACCATTATACTTATTAGTTTTACTATCTTATTTATATTACATAGCATTCTATGTCCCAGGTTTATGTAAGGGAAGCTTTGGTTCCAAGCTGCACCCTGAAATCGATACTTTGATCAAACAATGGTTGTACAGAAATTCGGCACCTGGCGCCACTCCTATCGAAGTGTATCAAAATTTAACTCACGTCCTGCCAAGCTTGTGATAAAAAGAAATGAACACTTACACATAAAACATTGCAAAAACGAAGTAGTTTTTCGCAGGATTTGAAAGGGTCCAAAAAATGGACGAAAGCAAAAAACCCTGAGAAAACACAGGGAAAGTGAACTCGCAACAGTTGGAAAAACAGGCGGCGTTCTATCAGCCGCTTTCCATGTAGTTAGATGGTCTGTTTTCATCATAGTCGTCCATCATATACTTACTATTTGCTTTTGCTTCCTTATGACTTACCTGACACATACCACCTCTCAAACCCTTCTCAATCATCTCATACATCTCTTGGTCAGTTAAAGGGTCTATTTCAACACCAGTTTTTAGAAGCATAGCATCCCAAGCAAAGTTAGGAAGGGTAAAATAATATGCGGGGTCTAAACCGTAGTATTCCAAACAAAGGTCTCCAAAATTTTCAAAGACATCAGTGAGCAAAAGAACATCGGTTCTCAAATACAAATCGTGGTATTGTCCAACATTTCTTATACCGAAGTGTTCTCATATCCTTTGTGCCCTTTCATACTCATCATCTTCAATATTACTTTCGGTGAGATTACTGTAGAATGCCTCTTTCGGGGGTAGGTGCTTTTCCCTGAACTTATCAAATGAATTGAAATAGTCGTATGGATATACCCCTTTGTCAGTTAGTAAATCTAAATCCTCATCATTACTCACATAAGGGTTTCTTTTGCTAAATTTGAAGTTGTTTTGCCAGTTTTGTTTCTTCTCTCCGTCTTCATACTTACTCAACTTCACCAACTTATCCAACGAAGACGATAAGAATGAAAAACTGTCTTTGAAACAAAGATTTTTAAATGCGAATGTTATGAACTTCTCACTATTCTGTGCTATTACATCTATCTTACCCCTTTCTGATAGTTCATTTGCCCTCTCAATGATTAAATGACTGTCATAGTTCTTGAGGTTATGAAGGAAAACGGGGATTTTATAATATCTCATTGAAAACTGTAAATTACAGTCATCGTGGGCACAACCCCTATACTTACCTGTAAAACGACAATGGTCTCTAACCTTTTTATCACCTTCTTTGAAGTCTTTACCGCATATAAAGCATTTCTTTGCGGTTTTAAAGTCCCTCCAGTCATCTGCCCTCATAATGATTTCCTTGTTTTCCTTCATCTTTTCCATTATCTCATTTTTTACTTCAATAATCTTTTGGATAAAAACATCCATACAATCCTCCCCTCTGTGAAGGAAAGGCTTTGATGAACCATCAATGCTATTGACAACATTTATCATAAAACCGCAGGGTCTGTGATGTTGGTATTTATCAGTCTTAACTTCTTTAGTTGAAACTGTCCCCGTCCTTGTGGTTAAACATTCAAGTCAGCATAGATGACAAAAGGTGCTTTCAACTCTTTGTAGTGATTTTTGAAAACCATAACGTCCTCTTCATTAGGCATCTGTATCTGTTGCCCTTCAACTGCCATACATCCCTTTTCAACGTGTTCATCAAGAAGTTCTTTTGTTAAAAAGCCGTGTTGGCAGTGAAAACAGTGATGTTTCTTTGGTTTCATTTTGTTCCTTTGACTTCCTATTATTTTATCATAATCTTTGATGAATACATAATGGTAGTCATCCCCATCCTCCAGTTTTAGAAGACTGACTTGATGAGTTGCTTTTGATACTTTAGACTGTCTGTAAAGTAGGATGGACTGCTTCCCTTCTTCGGGGTCGAGAAAATAAACATTCACTGCTATTTTTCCTCCGTTGTTTTCTTCAAATGTATCTATATCAACATCTGACGAAGGAAAATTGACATTATCCCAGTTCAGTTCATCATTGAGGTTTTTGTAGTGAGACACCCTTTCGGGGTGGTCTTTTTCATAAACCTTACATATACCACATTGAACGGAATACTTGAAACACTTTTCATCTTGATTTTTGATGTTGATACAGGCTTTTTTGTTTGAAACCCATTTAGGTAATGGAATGAACTTACCCCCACGAGTTGGATTGTATTTGTCATAGTTGAACTTCAGTTTATCAATCTGGGTTATGACTAGTCCACTCTCCGACACTTCCATCACCTCCGCTTGGTGCTCTACATCGTTTGCCATCTGATTAAGAATATTGGGTATTTCACCCTCGTTGGTGATGTTGTATCTTCTACTCTTGATGACTTGTCTTACATCTTCATTAGTCTTCTTGCTCTTCAAAGTGGCGAAGACCTGTAGCATAACCTTCATTCCATTATGTTTCCTCAAATACTCTTTTAACCTCAAATCTTGGTATTTGAGATACTGTAGTGCCTTTATGCCTCTAACCCTGATGTTAGTGATGGCATACGAATTGACATAACCTTTGAAAGCAGATTGTTCGTTGGTGGTGGTTGCTTTGTATCTCATTTGAATGCCTGTGAGTGCTTTGTTCTTGTCCAGATTGACCCATCTAATGCCTCTCTTCTCTTTCAGTTCATACTTTTTGTAGTCCATTGTCTGCTTAATCTTGTTGAATTTCGTTATCAACCTCTTTGAAATGGGTTTCCCCCTTTCAAAGTAGGTTTTCTCTCCAATCTTGAGTTTCTTGAGTTCTTCTCCATTCCGTTTCAATATCTCACCCTTTTCGGATGAGAAAAGAGAATCTAAAACAATCTGCTGTGAAGTGTCCATTATAGTACAATCTATATTATTATAATCTTCTGTTTCTTTAAGTAGTTTTTCAGTGTGAATTGTTTGTTGAGGAAGTTGTGGTTGATTGGATTGATTGTCTGATTGGTTTTTAACATATAACATTTCTGTTGAATGTTTCAACCTTGTATCCTCTGCCATTTACTCTATACCCTATAAGGTGGCATTTCTTTAAGTAGTTTTGGGCTCTGGTTGCCTGTTGGAATTTTTGGGATTGGGGTTGGACTTCAACATAAAAACCTTCTCAATAAAAATGATTGTTATTGAGAAAATTTTGGATGATTAACACTGGCATCTTTTCCTCATACAAATGTTGGTTTGAGGATGTTTTGATAGATTGGATTTGGACGAAATTGTCCGTCCGCAGTCGGGACAGGTGAAAGGGGTTGATAACTTTTGTTGATAATATTTTGAAAAGTATTTTGGGTCGTTGGGTTTCTTGTCATAAGTTCCGTCGGGTTGCCATCTTGTAGAGGTTTGCATTGTGGGTTCTTGATCTGTTTCTGGATTGAGTGCTTCAACCATCTGGTCAAAGATGTCCTCATCCATTTCTTGCTTCTTACCATCAATTACTAAATAGCAGGGCATATCAAATCTTAATTACATAAGGCGACTAGTCTTTAAGTATTTTTGGGTCTTGTGTTGGGTGTTGTGGTGTTGGCTTGATAGATTTTATGCCAGATTGTGCGGAAAGTCTCATATCATTTTAATGTCAGAGCTGTGAGAACTTGCTGTTGGGACGCCAACCACGTCGTTGATGGTTGAGGTCGGCATTGATGAGAAGCACGTGTAAATAAGTATATGTATATATCATATGTCTGTAGAATAAAATCCGCCACAACACCAACTGGGGGTATGCATTGAAATTTCCGCGCCCATCCACTCCATCCCAATGGTCAAGACCAGCACTGCGAAACCTTCTGAACAAACGGGGGGATGAATGAATAGGAAGGCGGGGGGGATATACTATACAATGTGTGGGATGCGTGGGTTCAACTATGCGTGATATCGTGTGATATAACCGAGGGATTGGGATGTGTCCCCCAAAAAAAAAGTTGAACTCATCAACCCGAAATTCAGGGTTTGAAGACTATTTGGTATGTCATTCCATTCAAGGCCTTGGTTGAACCACCGGGTGCCACCTTTCAAGCTTGCGTTCTCCCTGATGTTGTCTCAACCTCAAAGCAAATGAAGTGAGCAAGTTGAAAAAGGCTGCAGGAGGAAATTGAACGCAATCAGGGTTTTGAATGGGAAATGGGTGAAATCAACACCAAATGTCAATGTTTGGAGGCTTTACTGTTCCAAAGCGTGGTTAAAATGCAGTGTGAAGCTCTGACCATCGCAAAGGAGATGCAAAACCTCAAATGCAAAGCATCAACAAACTGACAGGTAGCAAATACCATGACACAGCGCCGTTGTTTTCCCCTGAGCCAGGTAGTCTTGCAATGGGTTAGGCTGTCAAGCACAGACGCCACTGGGGTCGCAGCACTCACACTTCTGTGTGCAACTGCACTGACCAAAAATAGCTGCCGCACGGGCTGCCACACGTGTGTGTGAGGCATTTAAGTAACCATCATCGGATACAGTTAATTTTGCCTGTCGACGAGAAGAAAGTCTTCTCAAGTTTGGTACCCAACGATTTTGACACCACATTCAAGACGCTCTCAGTCCTTGAAAACCAAACAAGCGTCAAATGCTAGGAAAAAAAGAAACCACAACCGCAAGCATAGTAAAGCACTCTAAACATGACAACAATAGCATGCATTCCAAGCACAACTCAGAAGAATAGATGGACCGCACAGACAAGAAAGATAAGAAAATGATGAATAAATGAAAAACAAAAGAACCAATATCTATCTATCCATTAATATATATATATATATACTGATGGGTAAAATTGGGAAAAAAAACAGGAAAAAAATCAACCCAGATACTGTGCCAGATCATTTGTTTCCTCATCCCCATATGGGGTATGCCCAATTTTTACTCCCAGCTGTTGCTGGAAGTGGGCGTAGTTGCGCATGTCCAAAATATGGCAATGCCATATTTGGTCCAGCTCGTCAGAGGGAGAGTATTTCCTAGTTTTTCCACCCAAGCAGAATTTCTGGCACCAAAAACAGACCTGAAAAACAAAGCCAAATAATGTTAAGAAAACAAAACTGCCAGAAATGTATAGAAATGTCAAGTCTCTTCATGGGCGCCAGCAATTTCGCAGCGTACCAAATCTTCAGAGCCCGCTCTGCAAGCACCACATACTCCTGCTCTGGAACTGGAAGCTCTCCCATGCTCGCAGGTCTTTGTCGCACTGCGCAATTGGCATACTTGCTGAAATTCCATACTTGCAGCTTCTCAATCTGGACGTTCAGCGTGTTTTGGTCTGGCTCTGAAGTCACAGTCGCGCTGTCTGATGCCTTCGCATGCATGGAGGCGACAGCAAGCACGAAAAGGCTCAACACCATAGCTGGCATCACGAAGCTTTCGGATATGCGTTGAACCTATGGAGCTGGCAGCAAAACACTGCGTCGGAAGTGACGCTTAAAAAATGCAAGGTCGGATGTGAATGACAACATCCCAGATTTGCACTTCCATCCCATCCCATCTGAGCATCCCGACAACGAAACCAAGAAGGCCAAAATTAAGACGGAGCAAAACGGCGGAGCAATGAGCCATGGAGGACGGAGTGGGAAAATTCTAATAGCAACAACAATCATCACCCTCATCCAATCACAATATCAGTGAAAGTTACAGGCCAAAATGTTCCCCAATCCCCACAGGAAAAAATCAAAGGCGAGGATGAAACATTGAACAAGAACATAAAATCATAACACCCTCAACAAAACCTACCCTCATTCAATCCAAACATTATTACAACAACCTCAACAAAACATTTAGCAAGATAATCAAGAAGAAACAGTCAAACATTTCAGATTACAAGATTGAACAAAAACATAACAGCCTCCCACCTAACCTCTAACCTGTCCTGTCCTAGTTTCCCTGTTTTACCATTTTTTTCTGGGAAACGAACCCCTGGCAGGCAGCCATTGCAACCATGACAAATGGCGGTAAACAAGGCTTGGGCTGTTCGTCCAAATCGATCCTGGCTTGCAGACCTGCAGCCACCACCTGACCCCACAGATTCGGCACAAATCCAGGGGTTTCAAGGGCTTCACCATGGTTCACCTGCCTGCTTGGAGACGGCCTCATCAGCCTCACCGGCAACTCATCAAAGTTGCCGGACAATCTTCCAGGAACCATCAGCAACCATGACCAAGTGTTTAACATTCCCGTATCGTATACCCAGTCCACACCGTCAACACCCTAGTTGTAGTGGCTCCAGTCATCATTTTGAGGCCTCCAATTCAGCAGTTAGCAGTTTCATCTCAGCATTGGCCACGGCGCTCTGAGCAGCCTGACATCAATGCCATGGGAATGGGATGCCTGGGGGCAAACGCCCACCCCTCAAATTGGAGCATGGAACGAACCAAGCGTAGGAATGTAATGGAAGCAAAGTAAAATCATGGAAAATCGTGAGAAAATCTTCTGATTGTTTTTTGGGTGATAGGAACTCCAGTTCTTTACCAATGGCTTGCCCTCCCACTCCCGGTTGCCCGAATGTTAGCCAACCCGCCATGGTCGGCGGGTCTTCCAACATCTTCCAACCTGCACTTCCGCTTCAGCGTCTGACACTGCGGTGCGGGCAGTTTTCAGTGCCTCTTCCTGGTTCTCCTGCAGTCAGATTGGGACCAAGGAAAAAAGAGGGAAGGACCGTCATCCGCAAACTAAAACGCAAGTACCAGCAACAAGAAATGTCCCAAAAATCGCTGTCCTTGTCAGACTTGTCAGATGCATCCTTCTCGTCTTCGGATTTTGAGGCATCCTCACTACCAGCCTCCTCCGACTCTTCGGCACTTGCCGACTCTGCATCTGATTCCTCTTTCTCTGAGGCAGGTCGTTCCTGGGACCTCGTTCGCCGAAAATGATGCAGATGGAGGAAGGCGAACATGTATATATATATATACACACGGAGATATCACCAGATATCAACATATGTGCTAGGGTCAAGACATGGTATATGGTTATGGTCATCCCATTTCATGGGAATCCAAACATGCTGAGTCCCTGTCGCTTTCCTTCTCCTCCTTCGACCATGGCGACCACCTCGCCGTCTGCGCCCTGACGGTCCAAAGAAGAAAGGCCCTGGAAGTATTGCCACGTGCCAGTATATAGATTCCTCAAACATCCTCAAACCTTCTTTCAACATCTATCATCTATCATCAACATCCTATTGCCATCTATCATCTATCATCCAATGTCTATCATCTATCCTCAATCATGAGCATCATCATCGTCGTCGTCGTCGTCGCCGTCGTCGTCGTCGTCATCATCGTTGCCGTCGTCATCATCGTCATGGTCATCGTCATCATCATCATCGTCGTCATCGTCGTCGTCGTCGTCGTTGTCGTCGTGGTCATCGTCATCATCGTCGTCGTCGTCCTCATCGTCATCATCGTCATCATCAGTTTCAGTATCGGTCATAGCTCTGAGATAACCCCTGACTCTGTGCAGATGTATGTATATATATATATACATATACATATATATATGTATGTATGTATGTATGTATGTATGTATGTATGTATGTATGTATGTATGTATGTATGTATGTATGTATGTATGTATGTATGTATGTATGTATGTATGTATGTATGTATGTATGTATGTATGTATGTATGTATGTATGTATGTATGTATGTATGTATGTATGTATGTATGTATGTATGTATGTATGCACTGTATGAATACATAAGCAATCTTTGAAATATAACATATAAAAATAACAATACATTCCATGAACTAAGAACAGAAATTATTAAAAAACAATCAGAATCACATTTTAAAAATCTATCTATATATCTATCTATCTATCTATCGATCTATCTATCTATCTTGAATCTAATCTATCTTAAATCTAATCTATCTTAAATCTAATCTAATCTACAGTAATCTAATCTAATCTAATCTAATCTAATCTAATCTGTCTATCTATCTATCTATCTGTCTATCTATCTATCTGTCTATCTATCTATCTATCTATCTTAAATCTAATCTAATCTAATCTAATCTAATCTAGTCTGTCTGTCTGTCTATCTATCTATCTATCTATCTTAAATCTAATCTAATCTAATCTAATCTAATCTAGTCTGTCTGTCTGTCTGTCTGTCTATCTATCTATCTATCTATCTATCTATAATATGAAAAGAAGAAGAATGATACAATAGCAGTGTGTATCTGATAGAAAAGTCATGAAGAATGATAACCATATATGATATATTATGATGATATTATGATATAACCATTTATGATATCATACAATAAGTATTAATAAGTGTCTTCCCATGTCGACAAGTCTCCCACCTCGCCGTCTTCCATGACTCGGTGCTCTTCTGCGCCCCCGGTGCCGTCGTCCATGGCCCGTGTGGCCGTCGTGGCGACGTCGTCGACCTCGGCCTGCGGGGCGTTGCGAAGCATATTTCGTGTGTAAAATATGTAAAATCATGTGAATTCCTGCAATATCATTGACTTACCATGTAAATCCATGTAAAATCCGATTGGAATCAAAGATATCAAAGCAAAAAAAAAGGTCACATAATGCCAACTGGCCATGCTTCCAACATCTTCCAGCATCTTCTTCACCACATACCATGGTGTCATTTTGCAGTGACACAGCCGTTGGAAGACAGGGCTCGCTTGAACTTTTCCCTAGGGCACCGCGTCTCATCACTTTGGCGAATGCCTCGTATGTACACAATTTACGGCAGGGCCCCTTTCTGTGATGCACGTATTCTGCGATCACACCTAACTGCCGCACTAGTGAAACATCATGGCCTTAATGCCACTAAAAAAAAAAAGAATTTCAGCGATCCCGAAGCCCTTAATCCAAAGAGTACCAGGGCCACAAACCCAGCGGCTTCAGGGTTCGAACATGTCACCTGCACGACTGAGATGGAACGATGTTTCAGCTTTAAGTACTTGAGTTCATTATATAACTTATATCTGGACACTTCAACATTTCAACCCATCTAATAAAATATAACAAAATGATCCATTAATTGTATATTAATGTGAATCAAATATAGTCACCCATATATCTATATTTACCAACCCATATAATGCATATATTAATATTTATCATGGGGGATGCCCCACTCTATATATAGCCATCCAATGGGCAGCCCAACGGTTGCAAAACAAAAAAAACATGCGTCTCAAAGCTTCAGTAAACACTGGAGATGAAAAACCAGTATAAGAAATGTTGATATGTGTCATGGTTTTTGGACATTATTTTTTCCATGATAAATATATATTATTCATTCCTATATTAAATAAAAATATATATATGTGTGTGTTATAGCATATAAATAGATATTCATCATTATTCATCCCTCAATCTATGTAATTTCTTCATCAACTTCTTTTTCCAGGCCGCTCTGCACCTACGAGATGGTCCGAGACTTTCAGTAAAAGCTCTGCTGCACAGCAGGCAGCGATGCTGCTACCTGCGAATGGCTCGTGGTTTGAGCGAAGGAGGGATAGAAACAAGGAAAAGGACAGGTTTTGCAGATGGTAAAGAGAACAAATAAAGGAAAGCAAACTAGATTTTTCAGCAGAGAGCCCAAGAAAATCCAGAGATCGAGAAAAGAAAAGAAATAAAAGTTGAATGAATGATTTATCATCATTTCATCCCCTCCCTATAAAAATGTATGACCGAGCTGCCTGAAGAGGGTGTGTCCTCCACATCATCCAACTCCTGCTGAAGACTATAGAGGCGCTGATGCCTCGGCTCTGTGGACCGAATGTGCTAGGAATATGTTTTGGAAAGTTGTTGTCGGGAACACCTTTGGGGCTACTTTCTATGATTTGTGGGCTCTGACATTGCTTAGATCCCCTCATTTCAAGGCCCGGACAGTGCTTAAATCATTCAGTTGAAAATGAGTGTGGCTCCAAAACCGCCAAGGAAATCAAAGTCTCACACCATCCAACTCTGTTCCTTTGTGTTCCTGCTCTCTGGTCCAAAATGGATCAAGTTGCACTTCCGTTGTAGCTTGCCATGCCATCTGCTGTGCTGCCAACGATCGCGCTGTCAGATCACTAGGCACTTCCTCAGAATGACAATCTCGAGGACAGTCACATGGGGCTTTGCCCACTTTGGGGCTCACCGGTTTATCTCCATCGCCCTCTCCAAGAGTTCAATGTGTCTACTTATATTTATTTGTCGTATTGATATATACGTTCTGTGATATATTCGTCATTTACAATATTCATAGCATATATTAAATACATTTACATTCATATATACAATAGTGTTAAGTGTGTTACTAACATCATCCGCACTATCACTTCATGAACCGTCGAGATTCTGAGGCAGACCTCGATGACAAGGCGACGCAAACAGCCCCGTCCGTCGCTTCTGGAGTGCAGTCTTGTCCTCGCCGGGGTTCCATGCTACATAGATATGTATATTATATATGTTAGAGATATATACATATATACATATATATATATATATGTGTGTGTGTGTGTGTTTGTGTGTGTGTAAGTATAGATATCGCATGTAATTATACAGTATCCAACTGCATCATTCTACTATTATATACTATAAAGGATAGATAGCTGAAAGAAATTGAAAGAATGGGGTACCAAAGGCTACCACAACTTCGGGTAGGTTCAGCAGTGTGCAGCATCAAGCCATTCATGGCATGTTAGTAATTTTCCTAGCGGAAGGATGGTCCCAGCCTGCATCGCCTGGGCTGGCGTCTGATTGGTGACATTCTGGGTCTTCCAAGGTTGGTGTTTGAGGCACCACGGCGTCAATCTCTGCGTCAATCTCCGCGGCTGGTGCCTCATTGGCCCTGCCAGCATCAAGCGATACGTCTGCTTCAGCAGTCCAGCCTGCAGCCAACCATGGCGTTCACCGAGACCAATGGGATAGCTAATGGCCTAATGGATGGTGATATTGTTTTTGAATATCGCCATCGCATAATTGTATGAACGCAGTATGATCAGTATGGATCAGTATGGTCTCTAATTGCGTTGTCGCATTGTTCACCACATTAAATCAGGTATCAGACTCGCGGCGTCCCACTTGCCTGCATCTGAGATCACTTCTTCCTCGTGTTGCTCATTGCACTCGGCCGCTTCCAAGGTCAATGTGAGATCTGTTGGACTTGCGTCAATCTCCACATCTGCCGCATCTGCTGCATCTTCCACATCTGCCGCATCTGCTGCATCTTCCGCATCTGCCGCATCTGCCGCATCTGCCGCATCTGCAGCATCTGCCGCATCTGCTGCATCTGCCGCATCTGCAGCATCTGCCGCATTCGCACTAGGTGTGCCTGGTTCTCCTTCAAGCTCCTCCTCTAGCACGATTGGGTTCCATCCTGCCAGGCAAGGCAGACGCATATGTTTGAATTCACTGGCTCAATATGGCTCAACCAAAGAACAGGTGCGCACACAGCCGTTGTCTAGCAGGATTGCGTTCAAGTCCCTTTCATCTTGACATATCTTGACGTGTTCCCTCCAGCCTGGAACCATATTCTCTGGGCATCGGGAGCCTAACCAGAAGGGCGTCTCAGGGATTCTAATCTCCGTTGCTCTCGGCACTTGAGAGCCACGTCCCTTTGCTTCATCTTTGAGCAGATCTTTGAGCGTCAGGGGTCCTGTCACCAGAATGCACCACACATGACCATCATCAAGGACATTTTCTTCCGCGATTGTGAAGTCCAATTCTCCTCAGCATGATCCTGATCCTCATCACCATCACCATCATCATCATCATCATCATGATCATGTTCATCCCCATCATCAATGCAGTGAAATCCCTCCACATGATCACTCACCCTGGACTGGTCAATGCGCTATCATGCGGCAGCAGCACATGGCTGACATGGTCCTTCTGCGAAAGATTGGTTAGACCCCCGCGCATTGCATACAGCAGCGGTCCCCTGATGGTGCATTGCCTGTGAGCTTCGTGCAGTCATGATTGGTTCAAGACAATAGATTAGAATAGATTAGAATCAAGCATCGGAATGCAATGTCACCATATATGCCATATATTTGTAATGTTTCAACAAAAATGTGATTATTGCATGTCATTCCCTGGTGTTCACCATCCGGACCAGCCAAAGTCATCGCTTCACAGTTCGCCTCCGCCGGCTGAACTGCTGCCTGTGCCTGTGCCAGGTAGCGCTTCTGCCACGTGGCTTGTCTGGGCCTGGAACCGGTGCTGCCATTCACTGTATCATCATAGAGGTTGGTTTCGAGAATGTTTTGCTTTGAAAAAGATTTCTTTTGCTCGAAACATCTCGAAACCATGATGCTTTCCAGTAAATGCTCAGACTTGATGAACGAATTCTGGGACAATATATGCTGGCCAACCAGGTTGTTCCCCGCACTCTTTTATAGATATAGATATAGATATAGATTCCACAACATTCATGGAAACTCCCATGAAACAATCCACGATTGAAAAACCGTGCCAATTGCTCACCTGAAATATTTCCAGGGGCACATTTTAACAGCATAGCTGGGAAGAAAATGAGGCTCGCACCGGCGTTTCACGGAGCTACGCAGGGAATCTACCCACTGGGGCTCAGTGGTCCTTAGTCCCGCTGGGGTCATTTCTTGGTCCTTTGGGTCTGTCAAAAACATCCGGGGACAGCCCAAGTCATGGCAAGTTGAAGGAGGAACATGCGGTTTCAGCCCATCAGTTCTTCAAAAATCGGGGTAGCCTTGCTTTCAGACAAACCCAGTGGATTGCAAATGGCAGGATCATTTGCCACTGGGCGCCGAGCCCTTTTGCAAGTAGACGCTTGATGGTGATTTCCATCCGCCCTTAGCGTGACAAGATGTCACAAATGAAGGTCACCCCGTTGCAAGTCCAAGTTAACATGAAAAGGATCTTCAAATTAGAGCCCGGTCCTAAAACCATCTAAAACCATCTAAAACCATCTAAAATACACAATCTTAATTCTTCGGCGAGGAGAAAAGGAACACCCAAGCATCCCTACTCAGTGCCTCCGCATTCGATGTATCAGTCACGTCCTCATGGGTTCGGCTTAAGTCATGGCCAAATTAGTGAGCCTATGCCAGATTCAGGAACCACTGGTTATGTATCTAGGGCACTGCAAAACCACAAAGTGACATAGTGTCAAACCTCATGTTCCCATGAAAATTACCACAAATTGCAGTATCATCAGCACCCCCACCCCATTTTTGATCATTTTTGGGGCTCCAAAATCCACATTTTCCCATCGCTGAGGAGACTCGTTCTTCCTTGATGCGCATCCGTTGCCATTCCGCGGATTCACTGGCGCAGCAGTCTGAAAAGGAGGCTCGTCTGGCTTGGACACCTGAGATGGCATAGGGTCCAAGAAAGCCCACGTTTTCCACTGAAACACGAGGGATCCTATGGACGTTTATCAACTTTATCTTGCAGTTCATGAGTTCATGGAATTTAAGTGATGGATATGGCGAATATGGCATTGGGATGTCATTGGGGGGACCCATTGTTTGAGAGACCCAAAAATTGGGTGAAATCGGAGAATCTTTCTCGGGGCCCCCCAAACGGCAACGTCAAGATGCAAGAATCAATAGGATTGTCTGAAAATAGAGCACCGCCAATTCGAATTATCATCGTCCCCAATAAATATTGCAAATTTGGTGTATATCCACCATCTTCAGACACATCTGAACGAAAAATCCAGGCACTTTGAAGGCCTCCCGACTTCCTCGCCACGGCTTCCGTGCCGTTGTTCAAGTTGCTGAAGCCTTGGAGCACCAAAAATTGGGCACAGGAATAGTGTCATAATTGGCCTTCTATTTTGTTCGGTGGGGACTCTTATTAGGCCAATCTTAGAACCATACCCGAGTCACTTTGATACCGTTGGGATTCGCTATATAGGTGATGCTGGGTGTGTATCCCCGCGGAATATGAGATGCTTCCAGCCGCCTTGAGACGGACATGAAAGGGAACTTACCACATACGGCCAAAATTAACAAGAAGATGGGCAATATCGCAATATACAGTACATAAGGAGGATCAAGGAGGGACAGCTTATGATGATATTTCATGTTTGATTTCAGCAGAGCATTCCGCTGTCGTTGTTGCTGACAGGGGCCACTTTTTTCAGGCACCCGAACAAGTCAAAAACCTCTGCTCTCTTTGTGAAACGTCACGTATGGCTCCGGAATGGGGTGCCAAAATGACCACAACTGTCATTGGGTAGGCCTTGGCTACTTCTATCCAATCTTCTGAATTCACCATCCCACAACGTCCTTGGAACATCTTGGAACTCCCCGCAGATTCCAAGACCAGGTGACACTGCAAGACCGGACGCGTACGACGCTCCATTGCGCCCAACACTGGCGCGGACCAAAGTCTCCAGCTGAGCCAAAGACAGCACCAGGGAAATAATAATAACCATAAGAAGAGGAACAAGAATATCAACTAATATCATATCAACCACAACGATAATGATCGTTTTCGGTCTGGCAATACTATCAAAACTAAAAAAATCGAATAACATCTGATCATCATTGATCATCATCCTCTTTCTCCTCCAGGATAGTCCAAACCCCTGCCTCGACTTCGTCTCTTCAAGCGCCGCCCGCGGCCCTGGCTGCCGTCACGGCCCTCGCGGCCCTCGCGGCCCTCGCGGCCCTCGTGGCCCTCGCGGCCCTCGCGCCGGGCACGTTCCCGAGCCTCGCGCCGCTCCCGGGCCTCGCGCACCCGGCGGCCCCCGCGCCGGCGGCGGGAGCGGCGCCGGCCCTCAGGCTGGGTCCTCTCCGTGTCGTTCCGCCTGGCAACGAGGCGATTGGAATATATTGGAATGCTATGGAATGCTAGTGGATATGGCACCTATGGATCATCTTCATCTAAAAACATCTAAAACTTCTTTATTGGTGATGCAAAATTGGCCCAAAAAAAATGGAACACGACCAAGATGTAAAGTGACAAGCAAAATGGTGCGCGTTTTCAAAAAAACACGAGATCTTCCAAGAGCTTTCGGGTTCGCAGTGAGCTCCCGACTGCACAGATTTGGGTTTTCCTTCTTTCCGAGGAGACCTGAGGTCATGGAGGTGGTTTCCACAAACCACTCCCAACAGCTATGCCCGGAAGTCAACAATGAAACAGCTATGCAGAAATATCTGCATACGCATAACCTGACCCCTGGATATTCCAATATCCATCTAATTTCATCTATCTATCTGTCTGTCCGTCTGTTTATCTATCCATCCATCCATCCATCCATCCATCCATCCATCCATCCATCTATTTGCCTATCTATCTAATCTAATCTAATCTAGTCTAATCTAATCTAATCTAATCTAACTATCTAACTATCTGGCTATATTTCTATCTGTCTATCTATCTTATCTATCTTATCTATCTTGTCTTGTCTATCTAGTCTATCTATATAGTCTATCTAGTCTATCTAGTCTATCTGGACTATCTAGTCTATCTAGTCTAATCAATCTTTCTAGTCTAATCTAATCTAATCTCATCTTATCTTATCTTATCTTATCTATCTCCCACTTACAGGAGATTAACTTTCGACTCTTCATGTGCAGGGTTTGAGGCTTGTAAGTATCTTACAGTATTTTCCTGGAATGAACACCTGGGATGCTTAAGCTGCCAGCCAAGGAAATAGCGGGATATGTTCACCCCTAAAATGGAATATTGGATATACTGTACCCAACTCAACGGGTATGGGAGACTTAAATGGTTTTTGTCCAAAACTTGGGAAATCCACTGGTCATAGTACAAAAGTGAAAAAATATTCATGTAAAATATGACTGTGTATGATCATGAGACTCCATAAAAGATGCTATACTGATAGGATGAATGGCTAATTCATATGTACTACTGAAGCATTCCCGGTGTTTATTGGTATACCGGGGGTATACCTAAAAAAGAACTGGGATCATGTATGTTAGTGGAGCCACAATAAACCACCCAAATCTTGATGGTATATACCACCCATTAATTTATGGTAACTTTGGGGGTGGTTTACCATTGCGCTTTACTAACATTAGATTTAAAACAACCCATTGGTTAACACAATAAATTCCGATGTAACTATTACCAGTCCATATAAACCAAGCATGAACAATCTATCAATGGATTGTTTTAAGGGAAAATCTACAGGAAACCATGGTTTTTACCATCAAATATACGGGTTTTCCTGTAATTTTTCCCGCCATCCAATTCTGTGAATCTAAGTTGATGTTAGGTAACTAGCCATGAGAAAAACAAGCCTATCCCTTTTTTAAAAGATATTCACCAACCATAAACCAACCATTTGGAGATGGTGTATCAAGCCATCCCCAAGACCGACCACGGACCTCGTGCGCGAGCGCGGGCGTAGCTTGGCCACTCGCTCCCGAGGAGCAGACATCGCGCGGTCGGAAGTTCGGGCTGTGCTCCCCCCTTTACACCCAAAAAAAAGAAATTCATGGATCTGGATATGATGGATATATAATACTATATTAATATAACTATGTATGATTATATACTCTATATATATGTGTGTGTGTGTAAAAAATATAAGGAGGTTCCAAATTTGGGTTTTGGCTCGATAAAAAGGTGATACAGGTGCCACATGGTGATAGAAGTATCCCAACCTCCGCTAGACTTCTGAATGAATCCTCTGTATCCGGGATGCAGCCACTGATGCAAATGTTTGTAGCCTTGTATCGAGTGGCCTCAATGGCCAGCACAAATGGGTCTTCAATTGGCTTGATGTTTGATACTCTTCACATCTTGGGCCCAGCAAAACCCTGAGTCAGATTCTAGACGCTGACGCTCACAAATGCCTTTCCAAACGCATACGTTCATGGCAACCTGACAAAGTGGCACACCAAATGGCCCACTGTCCGAGCCTTTTCCGCACCTTTTTGGTGGAGCCTAAACACCGTTAGCTGCAAAATGCGCCACGACCCGCACTTCCAGCACGGTTCGCACAGCACAACCACACCTCCCCTCCAACTGAAGCGCATGCACTCACAGCGCAGCTGATAAGTTTCCAGCATTTTATACTGAGACTGGTTGGTGGTTGAAATTGCCGCATAAATATTTGTCAGTCGGGTTCATCTTCCCGCGCTGCAGTGCTTCGCTCTTGGACAGCAGCCTTCAACTCATGCTCATACGCCGTACCCATTGCGCGCCCTCACTGCTGGATATGATGTATGGGACAATCAACTTTAAAAGTTTGAGCGAGAACACGGATACGAACCAACTGCCTGTTGGAGGCAGAGATCTTATGCATTAATAAATATTAATAATGGTTTCTCTTCTGTTGTTTTTGTTGGGCGTCCAAGCAGGGCACAAGTCAAAACCTGCCCCATGGTGACACATTCGCGACCAGATCTACAAGCCCAACTTGCCATGCCCAGAACGGGCCAAAGTGGAGCAGTGGATTTCAGGACCCATGTGGATGGAAACCATCCACGAACTCGTGGCAAGGGTCATGGACCCAATTTTGGCATTTCTTTCAAAAGCCCGCTCAGTAGCCGCCAAAATAGGCCCTTAGCTGCTAAGTGATCCCATCCAGAAATTCAATGGATTGGTTTAAGGGAAAATCTGCAGGAAAGCCCCATATTTAATGGGAAAATCTATAGTTTCCTGTAATTTTTCCCTTAAACCAATCCATCCAGAAATTCATCGTCCACATCGTCGCAGCCAAGGCAGCCAAGGCACATAAAGTCATATGGCGATGGGCCTTTTCCACCTTTGCCTCCCATGGAATCCATTGGATGGACATGGGGACATGGACCTGGGGCTACCTCTGAAAAAAAGTGCCATGATTTAGGGCAAACCCGGCAAACCCTCATATTGCTGGCAAGATATCATGAAGATCCAAAATCATGTCCATGGCTATCCCATGATATCTAGACTAGACATACGTACGTATGTATATGTATATGTAAATGGATATGCATATGCATATGTATATGTGTGTATGTGTGTATGCGTGTATGCGTGTATGCGTGTATGCGTGTATGCGTGTATGCGTGTATGCGTGTATGAGTCTACGTGTGTATGCGTGTATGGGTGTATGAGTCTACGTGTGTATGTGTGTATGTGGGTATGTGGGTATGTGGGTATGTGTCTGTGTGTCTGTGTGTCTGTGTGTCTGTGTGTAGTGTGTGTAGCATGTATGTGTGTGTGTGTGTGTCTGTCGGTGTGTCTGTGTGTCTGTGTGTGTGTATGTCCGTATGTACGTACGTACGTATGTATGTATGGTATGTATGGTATGTATGTATGTATGTATGTATGGTATGGTATGGTATGTATGGTATGTATGGTATGTATTGTATGTATGGTATGTATGGTATGTATGGTATGTATTGTATGTAACGTATGTAATGTATGTAATGTCTGCAATGTTTGTAATGTCTGTAATGTCTGTAATGTGTGTAATGTATGTGTATCTAATGTATCTAATGTATCTAATGTATCTAATGCATCTAATGTATCTAATGTATCTGTTGTATCTATCTTTTGTATCTATATAATGTATCTGTATAATGTATCTATATAATGTATCTATATAATGTATCTATATAATGTATCTATATAATGCATCTATATAATGTATCTATATAATGTATCTATATAATGCATCGATATAATGTATCTATATAATGTATCTATTTGATGTATCTATTTGATGTATCTATTTGATGTATCTATTTGATGTATCTAATGTATCTAATGTATCTAATGTATGTAGTGCATGTAGTGCATGTAATGCATGTAATGTATGGTATGTATGGTATGTATGGCATGTATGGTATGTATGGTATGTATGGTATGGTATGGTATGGTATGGTATGGTATGGTATGTATGGTATGTATTGTATGTATGGTATGTATGGTATGTATTGTGTGTAACGTATGTAATGTATGTAATGTCTGCAATGTTTGTAATGTCTGTAATGTCTGTACTGTCTGTAATGTGTGTAATGTATGTGTATCTAATGTATCTAATGTATCTAATGTATCTAATGTATCTAATGTATCTAATGCATCTAATGTATCTAATGTATCTGTTGTATCTATCTCTTGTATCTATATAATGTATCTGTATAATGTATCTGTATAATGTATCTATATAATGTATCTATATAATGTATCTATATAATGTATCTATATAATGCATCGATATAATGTATCTATATAATGTATCTATTTGATGTATCTATTTGATGTATCTATTTGATGTATCTATTTGATGTATCTATTTGATGTATCTATTTGATGTATCTATTTGATGTATCTAATGTATCTAATGCATGTAATGCATGTAATGTATGGTATGGTATGGTATGGTATGGTATGGTATGGTATGGTATGGTATGGTATGGTATGGTATGGTATGGTATGGTATGGTATGGTATGGTATGGTATGGTGTGGTGTGGTATGGTATGGTATGGTATGGTATGGTGTGGTGTGGTATGGTATGGTATGGTATGGTGTGGTGTGGTATGGTATGGTATGGTATGGTATGGTATGGTGTGGTGTGGTGTGGTATGGTATGGTATGGTATGGCATGGTATGGTATGGCATGGCATGGCATGGTATGGTATGGTATGGTATGGTATGGCATGGCATGGTATGGTATGGCATGGCATGGCATGGTATGGTATGGTCTGGTGTGGTGTGGTATGGTATGGTATGGTGTGGTGTGGTATGGTATGGTATGGTATGGTGTGGTATGGTATGGTATGGTATGGCATGGTATGGTATGGCATGGTATGGTATGGTATGGTATGGCATGGTATGGTATGGCATGGTATGGCATGGTATGGTATGGTATGGTATGGCATGGTATGGTATGGCATGGTATGGTATGGTATGGTATGGCATGGTATGGTATGGCATGGTATGGTATGGTATGGTATGGTATGGTATGGCATGGTATGGTATGGCATGGTATGGTATGGTATGGTATGGCATGGTATGGTATGGCATGGTATGGTATGGTATGGTATGGTATGGTATGGCATGGTATGGTATGGCATGGTATGGTATGGTATGGTATGGCATGGTATGGTATGGCATGGTATGGTATGGCATGGTATGGTATGGTATGGTATGGCATGGTATGGTATGGTATGGTATGGTATGGCATGGTATGGTATGGCATGGTATGGTATGGTATGGTATGGTATGGCATGGTATGGTATGGTATGGTATGGTATGTATTTAGTCTTGTTTTTAGTCTTGTTTTTTATGTATTGATGATTTGTTTATTTGTTTATATGTATCGCTATGTCAATACATCCCGTCAATGTCCCATACTATCCATGGCGGCCAGGGCCAGAGATTGGCCTTTCATGGGGCCATAGCCAGCAGTAGCACCCTTGCCGCCATTGTCTAGGTACCTCTTTTTTTTCAAGTGTAAGGCTGTAAGGATGTGCAAGGCGTAAGAAAAGGCAATGCCAAACACTTGATACGAGGAGTCAAGACACAATGTTGCTGGTGCATCCATGTTCTAATATCTTTATCATGGCCTCTCAACTCACGTCATCCTCTTCGACGTCTTCAATTCGGAGGATCTCTGAAACATCACCACCCTCGAACCGTCACACCAGCATCTACTACCCTCCTGTAATTTAACATATGAAAAATCACCGTGTTTGATTGGCAAATCATCGAAGTAAATGGGCTGTCTTTTCCGTAGCTGTGTTGAATCACCATCTGGTAACATCCATCAATCCTCATCCGACACCAACCCGGCACAATTTGACGTCCGCGTCGCTGGCACCGATGAGCCTCACCACTGTTGCGCTTGGAGCTGTTTCTGATTTGAGCAGTCTGGAACTGGTTTAGCATCAAGGCCCCCAGGCTCGACATAGCGAGTGCCCATCATCTGGAAGTTTCTGTCGTTGAAGGCTCTGACTGCCTCAATTCATCAATGAAATGTGAAGAAGATCTGGGGCGGTAAACTCTCATAGTTCCTCCGGTGATTTTAAAGATCACAACATATCACAAGCTCACGGCTGCAAGAAATTTCAAGAACAGGCGTGCAAGAATACATGACGCCATGGGATGGACCCTTCCTATACGATTTACATCAATTTTTGGTCAGGAGAAAGACATTCCCATTCAACTCCTGAAACCAATGGACGAGCATGGACGAAGCATATCGGAGACAGTTTGTGGACTGGTCCCACAACTCACTGGATTGACTCGGTGAAAATCTACAGGAAAAGATACGTTCCAACCCAGAAAAGCAAAGTGTTCCATGGTGTTTCCATGTTTTTTTCCATGATTCTCCTGTTGGTTACCCCTAAAATCGCTGGATTTCCTGCTCGGAACAAACAAAAAGACACCGCGCCTCCTCGGTGGAGATGAACTCCACGAAGACTTCACCAGAGGGGCGACCCATGTAGTCTTGCTTCATATGCACACGGCCGGTCCTCCAAAAATCCCAGGGATTTTTCGGCGAAATCGGCCGGCGAAATATGGCGAAATGCTGGAACTGGGGAGATGTCTGGAAACACAGGGCTTTTGGAAAGTGGAAAGTGATGGCAGTTGAAAGCCCTGTAAAATCCTGTAAATATCTTGAAACCCCAAGGCTATGTTTATCATGGTGTTTGAACATGTTTCTGTCGGGCATGTGATGTGCTTGAGATCCAGACACTCCGTAGCCAGAGAAAAACTCCAGAACCTGCACAGCTCAACACTAGCTGCTCATTGTCTCCCACCAAAAGACACCCCAAAAACCAGCGTTTTTTCTAAATGAGTTTCACACAGTTTTGACAACTATAAGGTGGCGCGTGTATGCATATACAAATATATATATATACATAAATATATCAATGTCTGTATACACATTACATACATATAAATGTACATATTATATATATATATCTGTGTGTGTTTATATATATATAATGTGTGTGGTTAGAACTTTATTTATTCATGTATTTATGTTATATTATACTATTACAAATTGTGTTACATATCTGCACCCACGGACCCAGGACCTGATCTTTGGTTGCGGAGAAGGGCAGCCCTCGAGCACGAAGCCTCAGTTTGACGTTGGATATGGCTCGAAATTGACCCTAGAAGTTCCACCAAAAAATTGGGCTTTTCAATGTCAAATTCGTATTCAAGATATTTCAAGATGGGATTCTAAGTTTGGAAAATCCAGGAAGCCTTTTAGAGCCACAGCCATTTGATCCCGGCAAATTCAAAGCCAATGTTTCCGCCACTCAGCCCGTGACGTGGTACCTGTGGGAGGGGGAGCTACCTGCAGCTTCATGGCTCAGTCAGTGTCAACAGCCCAGAATAAGTCCCGAAACCATTGAAGAAACATAAAAAAGTTGCAAAGTGGTAAGTATTGGTACCCTCTGGTAAACTAACAGTTTGCTATTGAAAATGGCCCAGTCGTATTTTTTTGGATTTACCCATTAAAGAAAATTGATGTTCCAATATTTTCCATGGTTATGTTAGCCCGTTTACCGGAGGGTAAGTTGCAGCAGCTGCAGCACGCCTTGTCCGTCGGGATGGTTGGAGGCACAGACACTGCCATCGGATCCCTGCCCAAAAACAACTGGTTTCGGCAGCAAAATAGATGGAGAACTGAAATGGTGAATGATGGAGAATGGTGGTCTGCAACCTTTGCAATCAAAAACCTCACCCCAGTTACGGCATTTTCTTGGTATTTTATTGGTGCACAGTGGTTGCTCCTGCGCAGTTCATGCCACAAAATGTGTCCCACCATCAACATCCTTTTAGATAGGCAAATAAGGTATATAAGTCCCCACCATTGTCCACCATTGGCAGGTGGGGTGTGCTATAATTATTGCACCACACTTGTGTCGGTTTTAGCCCTCTACCAGCTCAAGAGGAATGTTGGAACCCCATCATAGGTCTCATACTCTTCCTATCCCTTCCCGATCATTTGAAAATAGTAATATCAGTATTCCAAGAAGAGCGCCAAGAAACTATATATAGTGGATGTGCATCTATACAATCCTTGGCGGGTAGCCCTATCAAATCCTATCAACCGATGAATCACCAGCTGTTTCACAACCCCCGTGAACCCCCGGGCTGCCAGACCCAGACATCTGCCTTGGCCGAGGTCAGTGGAGGTGGAGAATGGCCCATTTGGCTCAATGATTTACCTTTGATTTTAATAGTGATGTTGAACAGCTATATATGTTAAATGACCGGAGGGTATGGCAATCTTTCCCAAAACATGCACATGCTCACATGCTCTTGCGATCGAACGATCGAAATTTTAGGAATAAAAAAATTGTAAAGGTAGTCGACAGATGTCGAGATGGTATGCCGAAACAATATGAAACCAGGATCACCAGGGCATGTTCCCGTGACGTCCCTCTCAGGGCTGGACCCCATCTTCCCCAGGGCCGCAGGCTTGCAGTCAATCCACTTGCCTTGCGCTGTTCATTGCTACAACACGAAACAGGGCCCACCATGGCCCTATTCATAAGTGGGGGCCCACCATGGCCCACCCCAATGTCCCCAATTGATGAAACTTACCAGCACTGGTGATTTGAGTAGACACTTTGCGAATTGGAAACTCACCATTCGTATCCATGGTCATCTCAACTTCACCAGTGGTCTGGAAGCCGTCGATCATCAGTCGCCAAGCAGCCATTGTACAGGTTGTTGTCGTAGTTGTTGAAGATTGCCTGTCAACCACTTGGCCAGCGAAGGTAAACAAATGGAAACAGTTACCAGTTACCCCGCAAGATCATGATGAACTTAGTTTTCATGACAAGGATCCCAACAAATGTGGGTCATTGAAAAGACCGTGCGACTGTGCGAGTCAATCTGCACGTTGCGGCTGCTGACAAGCACAACAGCAAAAGAAAAATGGAAGACGTACAGTTGAAAAGCACTTCAGACAAAAATGGATAGAAAAAGGTGGACAAAAAATTGGAGTGCCAAAAAAAATGGATAAACCATGCATTCAGTAGAAAAAGGTGGACCGCCACCAGCACCAGCACAGCACCACCACCATCACCAGGAACAACAACTAGAACAACTACAACAGTTACGACAACAACGACGACGACAACGACAACGACAACGACAACAATAAGGTGAACACCTCCCCAAAGTGTTGACAATTTGGGGGGCTCACAAATTGTTAGCCGCTAGCCACATTTGACTCACTTGGATGTCGAAAGTTGGAGGCCAGGCCTGCGCTTCAGCTGGAGAGCCAAGGGTGACGAAGGCAAAACCTCTGAACCTTTCGACAGGGATCAGTGGTCCGGAAGAACGGAGAAGCCAGTAAAAAAGGTTTGGCGCCTGTACTACTGGGCTGATTGAGGCGAAACCATGGTTTCGAGTTTTGCGCGATCCAAATATTGGATTTTCCTGTGATGTTATCGGTGGGGTGAGAGGTTTCAACCAATTTAAACCACGGTCTCACTCTTTCAATCCATTGTCGTCTCAAGAGAAACCAAACCACCTGGATCTGACGTATCCTTTTTCATCGCCAATATATCAACCGCCAAATGCTGACAATATGGATTTGTCTGAAAATAGGTCACCCGCAAATCCGCTTGATCATCATTGTCCCTATATGTCCCTATGCTTTCATGGCTATATACTGGCCATTTCTGCACTCACATATTGTTGGTCATATCCCTGTGGTCCTGACCATGGCATGAACAAACCACTATGGCCATCCCCTGAGGTCTTCTTTGCAAGTTACAGTTTTATATATATATACATTATAATGCATTATAAATATTATAATTTATAGATATATATGTATATATAGATATATGTGTTTTAAGTTCCATCAACAGTAATACTCCCGTACAGTAGCTCCCATTGTATCCCTTATGGTTGCTCTTAACCGTACATGTTAGCACAGCCCAAACAGGTCGGTCTCTCAGTTACTTGTAGTTACCTCTGACGACATCAATGGCATGCCAAATGGCATGGCTGTGGCTGAGGTCGTGGCTGATATGTGGTTTGGTCATACTTCATGTCGACCTTTTGGACCGTGCCCCACTGCGAGAAGTGCGCAGCGATGGCTTCCTGACCGAAAAATGGCAGAGACATGGGATATTGAAGCTGGAGGGTTCTGCGTATCATAATATTAAGTATGTTTTTCTTATGGAAATTGTTAAAAGTATTATCATAACATTATAATAGTGTACAATACCATGTATATCATGTGCATAATACCAATAGAATAGCCACGAATATCGAAGCATTTGTAATATTAACTACTATTACATGTACACATATTAGTCTCCATCTCTCAGTGTATGTGTGCACTTGTCATCATTTATCTATCTACATATCTGGTAATTCAACAGCTTGCCATGGTATACCAAAGTCCCCTTTAGTTCGATGATTTACCGTTCAAAGGTGGTTATAAATTCCGTAGCTAACTGTTAAAGAAAAAAAACAGCGGGTATCTATCTATTTCATCTGTATATCTATAGTCATCCTGAAGTAGATATATAGAATATCAAACGTTCAATAGTACAGTATGTCACAGTATGTCCATATTTGGTAGGGATGTTCTAAGAATATCCACATTCTATCAGATTCTGCCCTCTGGTAAACGAACAGTTCACTATGGTTTAGATGGCCTTCTTACTAGCTTAATGTACCATCTTAATATGGGAAATCACCATTTTTCCGAGATCAATCATCAATTTTCATCATCCATATCTATTGAAATGGTGATTTTTTCCATAGAAAATCACCATCCATATCCTAGAATCATCCTGTAAATAGCTCCTTTTTTATGGCCAAACGGTGAGAAAAACCCGGTCACGAGTTTCCCACCGAACGGCCTCGGTGGCATCTCTGGGAAGGCCACCCACGAAGATCACCCTGGATCGAATGGGTGCAACATAGCATCACTAAAATGCATTAATATTGTATTGCATGGTATTAATACGATCCAGTAATGATATATTAATATACAATATTATGCTATACAATATATGATTAATATATATAATTAATATATTAATGTTCTATATAGCACAGTAAAGTCTAGTAACTAGTAAAGTATAGGATAGATTAGGATAATAGAGTAAAGTAAAGTATTACAGTATAGTATAGTATAACACAGTCCGTTCTGGAATAAAATCGAGTATCAAATAGAGTACAATACATTACAATGGACGAAAGATCTATGGATCTGATACAGTTGTTTAATTTAGTGTTTTATGTATGTATATATATATATATATGCATATGTTTTCCACAACTGGATCAGTCGGTCTCCTATTCCCAGAGATTTCTCTCGATTTGGTGTAGATCCAGTGTCGATATACCGAGGCACTCTGAGTCAGCTGTGGGATTTCCAGCACCTTTGGCGCCGTAGGTTGGCCCCATAGGTTTGCCCTGGGTCGCATGGGAAGTTGGCCTGCCTTGCCTCTGGCACAGTTTCAACATGTTTCAGCTAGATCTAACTAGATTCTGGATCTGTGGCTGAGGTGTGGGCGGCTCCTTTTCCTGGCAATCTTGGGGCGAAGCTCAACACTTACCACGTTGGCAACGTTTGCGGTGATACCACCGCTGCAGTGCAAATGCTTCTGCAAAAGTTCCATTGCCAGGCCTCCTTTTCCACCCTTCATCATCGCAGCCATGGCCGACATCATCATTGCCATCTGCCGCCACAATTTTCAGCTTGAAACGAACACACAGAACCAGTCATCGAACTGCCACGTAAATAAATAAATATATATATATAATTATATATATATATAAACCAGGTCCCACCTTGCCAAAGCCCTTTCCCCTCAGCCATCAGCGCCACAACTCCCCAAGGGTTCCAAGTGTTGGTGACCAGAGCTCTGTCGTGTTGAGTTTCCAGCTTTGTTGGAGGTTGCATCCAGCCGTAATCATCTCCCCAGCCGCTGCCTCAACCGGACTTGGGACAAGTAACGTTGGAGGTGTCAAATCCTCTGAACAATATTCAAAAACGGGATCATCAGCCTAAAATATCTAAAATGGAAGTCAATAATCTGAAAAAACAAACTGCTTTTGAACGTCCAACTGCTTGATGCTCCCAATGCTCCCACACCCTGAAGTGGCAGTTGCCACCATAGTCATGATTCAACTAGCTCACACCATCGGCTGAGCTCCTTGCCACCACCACCCTTCATCGATGATGACCTGCCACAACGGTGGCCGCCAGCGTGGTGCCAATTAAAGGACCTGCCTCTCGACATCTCTCGACCGCCGACCGCACCTGTCCCTGGCAGGTTTCACTTCGATCTGCTTTCCGGCAATTTTCATCATCTCTTTGTTTTCCAGGATCTTGGTGCGGCGGTTTGGCGTGCAAAATGGGCATGTTTTTTTGGCACCTCAATATCGTAAATCTATGTGAAGATATTAGGGACATGGTTTTTCACCAGTAAATTTGGAGATATAGGGGGTGCTCTAATGTTTAAGCAAACCCCAAACTTCAAATGATCACCACATGTTGAGTTGTGATCCAACGGGGTGGGAACATGTGGGAACTAGGCGCATCACGTCCACCTTTCCAGCTGCAGCACCCGACCACCTCACTGCCCCTCCGCAGCTCGGCCCCCGAACAAACTTGACGGGTGCCTCATCGATGAAGCTGACGAAAGCGAAGCCTCTGGACAGGCCTGTGGTGATATCCATTTTCAGCTCCACCTTGGCACCAACTGGGACAGGACTGGGAAAAAAACATGGACACCTCATAGATTTAGATATAAGGAGGTGTCGATAGGTGTCGCTTTTGCGTGCCAGAAATGATGGAAGAGTCTGAGGTTTCCACCAGAGTCACTGTGCCAAAATTGCTGAAGAACTCCTTGACCTCAGATATGTTTCCATATCACATCATCACATGTCATTAAGTGCCATTAAGATACATTAAGTGCCTAATAACGCACATATCATCACATAAAATCACATAAAAAGTGCCATAGCCATAGAAATCAGCCGCTGATGTTCTTTCTAAACCGATACCTGAGATGGCACGGCTCCGCTATGCTCCGCTATGCTCCGCTGGGCTCCCTGCATCGTCTTCAGTCACGTTCCTTTCCAGGTTTCCCACGTAAACCTTGTTGGCCTCTAATGAGCCCACGCCTCGGAGCTTTCGCCATGGATTTTTCTCAAGGGTTTGGTGCCATGGATAGCATTCTATAGTTTAATATAGTGTTTAATCCCAGATTATTGGTATGTATTGGTTTAGTACCATATTATTGTTTTATTATTGGTTAATAGTTAATATCATTATGATTGATATACTTGATGATTGTAAGATTATTGGTTCTATCCAGTACTGACTGTAATATTCTCTTCTATGCACCACTATTGTTTTGAGTCCAGCCGTGGGGGAAAACAAAAAAATAAACATCGACCAAGCATATGGTCTTAATTGTTCTAGCATAATTAACCATCATACCCCAAACCCTGATATATTACGATATATTTGTTTGCCATCGGTTTCTATAACCACTCCATTGGTCCATTTGTTAGCCGCTAATTATTAACAATCGATAATGAATTGTTAATCCGTTAATCATCAACCATTACTGTAACCATTGACCATTGAGGGCCAACATTACATATTAAATCATGCCAACCTAACCCATTTCTTTTGGTTAAAAACGTGTTGGGTAAAACATTGTTTTTTCTTGGGTAAAACGGTACAACTCCCATGGTTTCTGGTCAAAAACTTCACCGGTTCCCCCATGGTCGGCGCCAGGCGCTGGCGGAGCTGGCGGAGCTGGGAGCCGTGCTTCCATGACCGCCCTGCTCCATCTTCTCCATGAAGCCTCTGAGGTAGGCCTCGTCATGTCCTGACCGTTCATTCGTGGCGGAGAGCACTGGGGTGGACGAAAAAAAAGCATCTTCAACCATACCAAACCCTTCAATGACATGTTAAGAAAATCGTTCAAGTTGGATGTTGATGATATTTATATCAATTTATGATATCTTTGGAATTCCTCGGATCATCTTGAAAAGTGCAGGCACATAACTCATGTCGATGACCAATCGTTGCATTCGGATGCTCGTGAAAAGGTGCCACTGATTTCAGGCCCCTGCGAGCAGGGTCAAAGTTGGTATTGCCATGGCTGCTGCAGTAGTCGTACCACCTTAGCAACCAGCTACCGCTGCTACCCTCTGGTAATTTGTTACAGTTTGCTATGGAAAATAGATGGCCCATGTAGGTCGTGGATTTACCTATTAAAATGGTGAGTTTCCATAGCTATGTTAGTTTGCCAGAGGGTAACTGCTGAAAACTGTGCTCCGCAGTGTACATCCTGACAGAAAACAAAGGATTCACAGCAACCTTCAATTTGCGTGGGCACAAATCCGCAACTCCAACCCGTTCACAGCCCCATCTTTTGGTTGCACGCGCTTCTCTGTTCGCAGTCGTGAAGATATTTCAGCACGTGCTTTCAATATCCAGAGAGGTGTTGCCAAAAACTGAAACAAGGTGAACGGCAAAGCTAATGATTTTTTAATGCTCTCTGCAGTCTTCTCCATTGAAAGACAACACCGTCGTGAGATCTGCCTATGTCTCCAGGCTATTTCCAGTTGGAACTATATACCTAGGGCAAGTGCCCTGGGCTGTCGAATTGATTTCACCAGATGAAGGCACTACCTAAGGCTTGACAAAGGCAGTGGTAGACCCCCCTGGTGTTGCGGCACGTGTGTCCGGGTCAAAAATATGACAAATTGATAAATATACATGTATAAACATACAGCAAACATATGTATATATATATATGCTTCTGTGTGTGCGCTATATACTATGTCATGTGAGGAACTGGTTTCCTGCCGACATAGCAGCCAACCAACCGACCGGGGTCCCATATTTTGTCGACTGTCGCGCCTCATGAGCTGCATCAGACTCATGTTCTTGTCAGAGTCTTTCCTGGGGCACTTTGGACTGGTACCACTGGGAGGACTGGGGTGAAATTGTCATGGCTACGGTGGTTCATGGGGCCCTTATAGCTATGAGGATATATATGAATGGGGATATATATATATATATATATATATAACATAAAAATATATTGTAATATATTAATTTAATTTAATATATATATATATACATTTATTTACAATTTATATGTAAAGATAATTGATTACATATATATATATATATATATACACGTATATTACATATACAAAATTAAAATCAAGTACCCAAACACTGAGAAGATCCTTGGTTGAGACCTGCTGATGGTGTTGACCGTCGAAGAAAAAAAACTGGAGATGTGAAACTGATGCAGAGCCGAATTCTTGTCCTAACAAATTGCCTGGGCACAAAAACGGAAAAGTGGAATGTATTTCCTCAAGAAAAGCCATAGCACGAGGGCAATGCTGAGCCATACCCAGCCCAACCAGAAATAAACATGGTTGTTTCATGTTGTTTCCCATTAAAAACCTCCATCCTTACTACTGATGTCACTGATTTCTGGGAACTGGATGGAACTGGGGCATCACCATACCATGGCCGAGGATCTTCATCACCTTAGACACGGCCATTTCAAAGTCCTCCTGGGTCACGTGCTGCCGCCGCTCACGCAGGGCAAACATGCCCGCCTTGCGCCGCAGAGAGACGGCAGATATGATCTATATCTACAGATCTCCATATCTCGGAAAAAAAGGTGACTGTTGTAAATATCTATCATAATAATTCATAATATAGTTTGGTATATATATATATAAATATATATATAGTATTATATAGTCATATAGTCCAGGTGAATTTAGTTGAATTCAGTTGAATTATCGTTCGAAACATCTCAATCAACTACGGCCTATCTTCAGCTTCGGCGCCCTTGCCCTGGCCTCGGTGCAGACTGCCTTGCTCTCTGCTCCACTGGCGCCGTTCATCTGCGACGCGATCTTCTTGAGATCGATACCACGCCTGGGTGGATGGGGGCCCAACACCTTGGGAGATTAGTTCAGATGTGTTTGAGAGTTGTTCTACAGAAATGAAGTTTTCCAAAGATGATCCCATCTTTGATGATATCAGATATCCCATCTTTTTTCTGATTTAAATTGATGAAATTGGAGTGGCTGAAACTGAAACTGGCACTTCAACCACCACAGACCTGAGGACCTGAGGTTAAAGTGTGATTTTGGGTGGGGGGGCAATACAACTGCAGGAAGACACGCCCTGGGTAAGCTTTAGACATTTTTTTGTCCTTACCGAATGGGAAACCACAAGTGCTTCTACATCCCTTCATACTGCATGCGTATCCCAGAATTAAAGCTAAAAAATGCTAAAAATAGCTAAAGCCCATAGCCATAATTGCTTCCCATAGCGAAACAACCATGGTTGGGATGTGGATTCGGAGAGGTCCACACTGCCCAGTGTCACCCCAGCAGCTTGATTTATCTACACCCATCAAATTGGCAGTGGCACCATGGCGACAAGTCACATGAGGTTCATCTTCCTGGAGTGGATCTTCAAGATTTCCCCACCTCAATCCCGCAGATCTTGATTCAATGGCAATTTGTCACAGTCACCAGATTCATGGAATTTCATGGATGTTCAGTTTTTCCCAGTTTTTCATAGCTTTTCCCCCAAAGTCCCAAAGTCCATTAACTTCCAACTTACAAATGCCTCAACCTTTCACCGCAATGTGCTGCTGGGCTCCCCCGCGTGCTTCCTCGTTGGGGTTGGGGAACTCCACCTTTCGATCGATGCGCCCCGGCCGCAGCAGGGCATCGTCCAGGATGTCGATACGATTTGTGGCCTCAGCATGGCCGCGACATATCGGAGCAAGAGATGGTGATAAATGTATGGTATATTTGTGGATTATTATTACTACGATTAAATGATTATTATTATTATTGCAGTTATATATGTACATATACACGCACACTTATATGTATGTATATACACACTTATTATATGTGTATATATATATAAATTGTGTGTATATACAGAGAAAAAGAGAGAGAGAGAGATAGATAGATAGATGTGTGTATGTGTATACTTGAGATGCCATCTTTGAACAGGTGCAAGGGAAATAAAACGGAAGCAAATATCTCAAAATATCTCAGAATTCAAGGTACGTACTTTTAAAGCACTGGTGGTCATGTGGCAAGCTTTCCCCAACCAAGGCACCATGATGACCTTGATGTTCGTGGTCGCCTGGTCGCATACTGCGGTGGAAGCAGCTTTCACTACGTAAATCATCGAACTCAATGGGCAATTAGCGGATGGTATCTGCACTCTATGGTCTTGAGAACTGGCTGTAATGCCAACACTGGATTTACGAAATCTGGTTGATAAAGTTTGGGGGTGAACAATGGTGAACAGTCAACCCCCCAACAAAAGGTGATAATCTGTGCTCTTCACGGTTAACACGCGAATTACCCTATACGCGTCAACCCTAGGTTCGAATAATCCTAGGTCTATTAATGTTTGATAGTTTATGTCACTGCTTCGGTGGAGTTCCAAAATGGTGTTGATGAAGAGCCACATCTGCCCGCAAATCATTTAACCGTAATGTCATACTCCCTGAATTATACTTTTCGCTTGCGAACCCACCACATATATCCAAATATCCCCTGCAATCCCCTGTAAATATCTATAAATACTTCTAAAGTCGACCATCCAAAGATCCATAACATGGATGGCCACCTCTCACATGTTAACCAGGAACCATCAGGAACTGCCTCAAAGCCATCCAGCTGGTTCAGTAGCTCGAGCATTGTTCGTTGTACCTCCGAATCACCACCTGACTCGCCCTCCACGCGGGAGGAGCCGATGGAATCCACCTGAGCCAGAGTTGGGTCTCAGATTTTTGCCCGCAAGGCCCACAAGTGGTGAGTTTTTTCTCTGGCCTCATCCATGAAGATGATGGTGGGCGCGTGCTCACGGGCCATGACGAAAAGCTCTCGCACCATTCGGCTGCCTGGCGAGCCAGGCGGCAGCCAGGGGTTGCTAGGAACCCCGGTAGCATCCGGTCGCCATTGCACAGCACAGCTAGACATGCAGGATCATCCAGGCCTTCACCAATGTACTTCTGGACAAGCTCACCACCAGAAACACGGATGAAACCTGGGCGTCAAAATCTCAGCTGTGGTGCCTTGTCTATCCCATCACCATCCATAGCCACCATTCATTCGTTTAAATAGGTTTAAATCCCCATTTTTGATGAACACCATTCCACTCCAACATGTTTCATTATTTTCCCCCATGCCCTGCCACTGAGGCAGCTGACAGCAGTTGGTGTGGTGTGCCACTGCTCGGGCCAGCAGCGTCTTTCCGGTTCCGGGAGGGCCATAAAGGAGCACTCCCTAGCATGGCAGATCAGTGACATCCGCAGTTGATCTACTAAAAAAGTGCTGATCAAAACCACCCCCTGTTAAACCCCAGCTAAAATGCTTAGGTGGTTATGATGTTCATCTGGTTTTTCATTGGGTTCTGACCCATCCCCATAGGATTCAAGACTGGGTAGAGACCCTTCCCGCCCCGCCTTGGGCTGGGAGATGCCAAGAGATTCAAAGATCTCAGGGTGTTTGATCGGCAGTTCGATCACTTCCTTGATCTCCTGCCGGCAAGAGAAGCCGCTAATGATTCTTTATCTGGCTGAGCATGCATATATCATCATATATCTTAATGTGTGTGTGTGTACATGTGTAAGGTAAAAGTCAAGCACATGTAGATGGTGGATAACTCACTATATGTATATATTATCATACGTACTGAACTTTAATGAAGTAAAGTCTTCACTTTCGCTCTCAAACCTGGTCCAAACAACATCAACCGCCAAACAAAATTGGACCTTGATCTGCTTGTCCACACCACCAATCATCTCGTAGGTGCTGTCGGGCGTCTTCTCCACTTTCATGAGCTGCACCAAGGGGTCCACCTCAACGCCGCATTTTGGGAGGCGTGACCCCAAGGGATCCCAAGGGGGACCCCAGAAAAAGCCAACAAAACGATGATGCCGAAAGAAAAACAGGACCACAACCATCAGAAACATTCAGAAACGCTGATGCCATTTGCTTTAAAAAAATCATGGCGTTTCGATGACCCACAGCTTCCGCTTCCCCTCACCTTGCTAGGCAGGATCTTGTGAAGGACATAGCTGTCGCTGGTCAAAGCAATGCGCGTGTTGGGCTTGCAGTCCTGGCAGAAGGACGGACTTTTCCGTGGAAAACCCGTGGGAAAAACAAGAGGAAAAACCTCCCGGAAATCCTGGATTTCATGATGTCCAATGATTTTCCATTATTTTCCCTGCAGAAAATAATGGCTTCCCACTTCAATAGTAGAATGTGCCCGTTTCGTCGCAGTATAAAGCGAGGTGTGCAGTTTTGTGGCCTCAATCTTGATGTCTTTGTCGATGTCCACCACATACTTTCCCTCCTCAAAGCAGCATCCCACAGTGTCACGAAAAGCGCGTTGAAGCGAGGGAGAAACAGCTGCTGTAGCAAACGCTTGCTGACCAGGCCTGACCCACCTTGACCAAAACTTTTTTGGTGCCTTGGATTTGCTGACAGTTCAGGGATGGAGGATTGAAATGGATCCTCCATGTGCCATGATGTTTGTGGCAGTGACGTGTCTCAGGCGCACTTCAGCAGACCATAATAGATCCGAGTCATCCTAATTACTACGCAACAACCCCGAAAACATACGAAAGTATAAAGATGTATAAAGTATATTAAAGTATAATCCTTCGAAAATAATTCCTGGTCTCGAAAAAAGAACTGTTGAAGAACCAGTTACCGCATCAAGGCGCAGGGTGCGAGCCAAGGTACCCATCGCCTTGATGACCTCCCCACAGTTTGAGGCGGGTTCCAACAGCAGCTGAAGCTCTTCACCTCCGTTCCCATCTGAAGGCGTTCTGTTGAAGTTAGAATGGGTAGATTAAAATCCGATCTAATCCCATCCAATCTGAGTAAATCTAAGCTTAATCTAATCCAACTGCTGACTTGTGGGCACTAATATATATATATATTTATTTATTTATTTATTATATATATATATACCTACATACAATTACATACATATACGCACCATCCAAGTGCATGGAAATCCCGAATTTTTGAGCGCCGGCCGGGCTTCCCCTAGACGGTCCCACTCAGGTGCGGACGCAGCTGACGCACTTTGCTGTTCAGCTCATTCCTTTGGGCTTCCAGACGGCGCAGGTTGTTCTTTCCTGGGCCCAACAGCGTCGACAGTGCTGACAGGTAGAAATCATCCAACATTTCATAGCTGAATTGAATTGTCATCAAAACCTCAGACTGCCTCGGTTCTTTGATGTTTTTTTCTCTTCTTGTCTCTACGATGAAGACCTGTGAAGAACTGTGAAGAACTGGTTGCAGCCAAGGAACGTTCTTTGATTATGGAGCTGAGCTCTTGAATTTTGGTGTCCTTAGCACGGCTCATGGGAAGTCACGATCTTCCTTGAAAACCCGGTGCATTTGACAGATTCAAACATGCTCAAGGACGCTTGATATTGATCATGTCCTTCTTTCAAAAATCCCCTTACCCCCATCAAAAAGCGTGCGCCAAAATATGTGATTCCGTTCATTCAACGGTTTCAACACCTTTCAGCACCAAGTCTCGTAGTAGCTCTGAATTCCCATGCTACTTGGCGCCACCATAGCCGTCATCGTGTGCCGTACCCCGTCACCGGAACGGACTGGCGCCGCCCCGTGACCCGCCCGTTGTCAACGCTGGAACTTTAGAAGTCCCTGGAGCCAAAAGAACAACACCAAGGAATCACAGGCTTTCCTTCCTGCGTGATAACGCCATAGGCGTGCCTTGAAATCGGGATGATCTCTGAATTTGACGAAATATGTTCGGCACCGTCCCAGCAAGGAACACCAAAATGGTGCCGTTCATCCGTGACACCATGGAATATATGAGAAAATCATCTTGGTTTCTAAGGATTAAATGTTCCATCAACGATGGCCTTTGAAAATCATCCATTGATAATCATTTATATTATATAGATTAGATGATTTGTTCATTGATTTTCCCATTTAAATGCCCATTTATAAAGGATTTCCCAGCCGTGTTTGATTACTATTTGGATCCATGTGGATCCCATTCTATCCCCATAAAATCACCATTAAAATCCCATAAATTTACCCATTCGTCAACCCCATGTTTGACCAGACGGGAACTCAAAATCCTCCACTTCCAATGTGATCTGAGAGTTTTGGCAGCTGCCTAGCCATATGGCCGCTTTTCTGAACGTTTTTCACCTGCTGCCGGACGAGCCATGGGGAGAATGTTGTTTCGGTGCGAAACTCGACCAACGCCTTCTCGACCAACGCCAGTTTTTCCGGGCTCTCATGCTTCTCAGCCTTGGGCAAAGATCGGAGATGGTGAGATCCACCTACCATGACGCCGTGCTTCAAGAACAGATAAGATCGGGATAGGGTCATCCAACCTGACATGGAAATGAAGGAGATGGGAGTTGGTGTTTGAACTTGTGATGACATTGGCCAAGCAGGAGATCACGGGCAGGTTTCCTGTCATGACAAGTCTGAGATATCCTGCCAAACGAACTGCATGCTTGTCTTGCTTGGTTCGATAATATCATTCCCCCCATCAATGCCCTCCCAAGAAGAGATTGACCGACCAAGCCATAATTCACCCAGCAGTGCTGTAAGGTACCGACACTGATCTGTCCGGCCCTCAGTCTGCTTTTGGTCACCACAAGTTGTCACAAGCCATGCTTTTGGGAGCTCAGCATATCAGCATAGGTTCTGAAACTGGGATGTCCCCAAATTACATCCAAATCCCCCAGCAGTTGCTCTGATTGATCTGCTGGGAGTCTGAAACCGCAAAAAACTGAGTAGATCCACAGCTCGGGCCATGCTGAACTTGGCCAAGTCTCTGCTGCATCAAGAAGAATTCGTTCAAGAAGTTCTCATCGTGGGATCCAGGGTCGTACCTTTGTACCTGCTTCATCATGCAGAAGACCTGGCGCCACGGCGTCGCTGTGGCACACCCAAAAATCCGGTGGCGTTTATCGTGTATATCATTATGTAATATTATGTATATCATATCATTACATCACATGTTCTGCATTTAAAGAACATGTTTGGGGTAGATCGTGCCAATTTATCCAATACACTGATGCCACAGTGGATGTCCAAATAGCGCCTCCCACTGCTTCTTCTCTGCAAGACCAATCTTCTGGAAGTCTTTGACCCGCCTGGACTAGGTCAGTAAGAGAACCATCCCAAGGGAGTTGGGACTTCAAAGATCAATGGATCAGTGGTTACAAAAATTTGACAAACCTTTGATAGACTTCAAGATCTTCAAGGATCAGGGTCTGTGATTTTCTGCCGGAGACGAATTCCATGACTTGATGTAGCCAAGCAGCTGTACGAGCGCTTGCCTAGGTTCAGCAGGGTTGCCAAGGGGTCTATCCTCAATGATGATGCCCATGGTCTGAAGCTACACGTTGTTGAGTTGGGTCCTGGATTTTATTGAGACGTATCCAAACAGCATCCATTATCTATTTCTATCCACATAATGGAACTAGATGGAACTACCCCTTTTCGAAAGGCGCGAAAACCAAGGGACTTCTCAGGAGACCATCCGCCCACCGGCATGGTGGCTGGCACAATGGCGCCCTGCCAATGGGGGGGATGATGGGGTAGCGACGTGGTGATTTTTCTTGGTGTTGGAACTGTTGGAAGTTTAAAACTCTGAGATATTTCTTGAACTCCAAATATTCCAAATACATGTCAGAGGTCTTTAAGGGTTGGTCCCAGCTGATTGAAAGATCTTCGTTGTTTCTCATGATCGTCAGGGGGAATTTGTTTAAAAAAACATGAATCAAAGTGCAAGAGCGATCAGCGGTTCCCAGAATGTCATTGACAGATCAGACCAAATCCACAAGCAGTGCTCAAATTTAGGATGGCAAAGCCAGTGGATAAATTCTCCATCCACCTCTAATTACATGTAATCCTCCCATTTAGATTGCAAACACCGTGGTTTCCTGCAACACCGAACCCCAGACATCCTGGATCAATCATACCCTGCTTGATTTCACTAGGTGGGTTACCCATTACCCCAGAAATCAAGTGATTTCATGAGATTTCATCCAATTTCATCCAATTTCTCAAATCATCCCCGTGTATCATCCCCATCCCCCAGTCGTCCCACCTTCCCTGCGAGGGCCGGCAGCCCCACTGCGCCCAAGGCGCCCACTGCGCCTAAGGCACCGAGCCCGACGGGTGGCACGGCCGCCATCTTCTGGGCGGCCATGGCTGCCATCATTGCGGTCATCGGATCCTGATGCAGCGATGGCTTTTGGTGTTTCGACCGGGGCGGGTTTGATGGGTTTGGGTGGAATTTAAAAACTCCTGTCCTCAATTTTTCCAATGGAAAAACTGGCAACCAGGTAACCATCATCTAAAATCATCTATGTAAATTCTAAATGGAAGAATCAGAAGAATCTGGAAGAAATACGGCAATTGGAAATGGTGGCATCTGTTGCGGCAAATTCTGCACGACTGAGGCTACAGCCATGATGTCGCGGTTGGAAGTCGAACGGCGGTTCCCGTCTGTAGTGGCGCCTCTAGTGCCACCTTCTATGGCTGCAGCCAGGCACCGCACCCAAAAAATCCTTCAATGACTTCAGGAATTCAACAAGTGTCACTGAAGGAAGTTGCAGATCATCTCACATCTGACATCATCTGACTAGTCCAATCTATTCCACACTATTCCAATGTTCTTGTTTCGACTGAGCTTGCCCTCAGACCCCTCATTTTCTGCAAGAATTGCCAGGATTGACCACTTGTGGGTCGAGCCCAATTTTTTTCGTCAGGAGTGAAACAAAAAGAACACATATCGCATGTGCATTCCAAACCATTCCAACAAATATCTGAAGCCGGAGCTACTTCTTTTCAAGCTCTTCTCCATCATCGGCATTCGCAGCGGCCTCAAGGATCACCTTCAATCGATCTCTTCCGATGTCCTCTGGCCGTCCAGATGTCCGCAACTGACGTCGTTAAGTCTTCACGTCTCGCCGATCCTTAGAACATCTAAGGAATCCAAGGCTGCTGGAAGCAGATTCTACTGAGGTGAGGGCTCCAAAGAGAAGCGTGAGGTTCACCCTTGGAAGCTTCTCCTCGGATTATCTTTTTTATACTTAATAATATTGGGTGTGAAACACAAGACACCATGTAAAAAAAATCGGTCTTCATGGGATATAAAGGCATTAAATTCCACCAAGTTCCTTTTCAAGGAAAAGCCATTGCTGCAACCATCACTAGACGACCATACCGAAGCTGCATAGTTTTGGCTCGGCTTCGGGCATCGAAGTCAAATGGTTCTGACTCATGGAAGCGATCAGAGACCTCGCCACAGCGGTGAAGTCAAATCTCGTACCCTGGGGTGTTGAGTTACAGCATTCCAAGGTCCACCCAAAAAAGGTCCAAATGTTCGTACATTTTGTGGCACCACATGAGGCTACCAATGGCGGGTTTGATTCAATTCTATATGTAATTATAGAATTGTATAGAATTGTATAGACAGAGATGCACAATGAGAAAGAGAGATGTAGAGGTAGATCTGTAGGTGAGGTCTTGGCAAAGATGCAGGCGCGATTCTGCTTGTACTTGACGTGGTCAACGCCTCCCTGCGCTAAGGCCTAGGCGAAGCACTTGGAGCAACTCAGTTTTGCAATTTTCTTTGGGGACGATTATAGCTGGTTGGTGGTTGCAACCCCTCTGAAAAATATTAGTAAGTTGGGAGTATTATTCCCAATATATGGAAAAATAAAAAATGTAATAGGATATTATAGGGAGGTAGCCCAGTGGCCAACCACCTTGTACTAAACTTGTACTAACTTCATGGATCTTCCAGCAATCTGAGGGCCATCACCTGGCGCCATCCGTCCATATCATCTCAGTGACCGGCACGGCACTCAACAGGTGGCTGGAAGTTCACATCACATCTTGGGACCCTGGCTACCAGATACCTTGGAGGCACCAAGATGGAAATGGCGATCTTTTGTGTGTATTTATAATTTATAAATGGGTTTCTCCAGAAATGGGGGTACCCCCGAATCATCCTTTTTTCAAGAAAGGATGTTCCGAATTTTTTTAACCATCATTATCAACCATCCAGCTATTGAGGATCCTCGACATTAGGAAACCACCAAAATTTGGAACAGAAATGCCGTAGGCCGCCAAAATTGCGATTTCGATGGGGAAAAGGACGAGGAGCCATTGGATTTTGCGGTTCCCAAGGTCCGAATATCATTGAATCTCACAAATCTCACAAATCTCACAAATCTCACAAGACCCGAGGCAGGTACGCGATTGTGGTCCCCAGTCCATGAACCAGGAGGAGGTACGGACCTGGTTTCGCACTGAAGTCACTCCAAGTCACTCCACCATTTTCCGAGGGTCTTTGACGTCTGTGAGGACTGGACCTATAGATATCAAGGCCACCGCCTCTGCGGCAAGCTTGATCTGGAGTGAGCCAAATATTCACATTCACCGCAGCATCCTTGGTGTCCCATGTCCCATCAGTCGGAGTTTAGGGCACATGCACCAAGCTCATCAAGCTCATGAGCCGCATGAGCCACTCATGGGTCAATAGCTTCAGAGATCAGCGCACTCAGATGCACTTAGCACCTGACGTCCGCATGGATTCCAATGCCGCTGGACCTGATTCTGCCCAGGTGAAGTATGCCGAGCCAGGACGCTGATGAAAACATCAAGGCTGTGACCCACAGGAGAAGTATTTGAACAGCCACCACCTCGAACTCACAGGGTGACTCACGCCAACCATCAAAATCCAGTGGCAGGGATGTGCTACAAGTATCATGGGCAAAGACTGGAATTTGGAGACTTTGGAGTGTGGAGAATCCATCTTCACGTGCCTTGTCAAATGATGTCTCTCCAAAACAGCGGGCCTGAGTCTGCATTTTTCTGCCGACTTGCAGACCTTCAGACACCAAGCTCAGCAGCTGAGCCGCTCACATTTTCTCTTCCAGACTTTCAGCTACCCTGCGGATGATGGGATGTACCTAAGGTGAAGCGCGAATCGAAAAATGGTCACAGCCGAAGGGGTCCCAAGGGATTTTCCAAGTGTCAGAAGGGCCGGATCTGACTGTATAAATATTCCTTTCAAATCCGGGCCAATGATGGATACACAATAACATAACCCCAAGTTTGCACCAACTGGTCCCATCCCCACCAAATTCCCCCAAGAATGGTGCCAAGCAGCACAGCCATCGGCTGGAAAGGCACCCAGATATCCAGGACGCAGTGAACGGAAACATGGTGCCTCCAAGGCATACGTCCACCTTGGGAGGGCCCAGTATTACCCTTGGGAGGGCCCAGTATGGCCCAGTATGGCCCAGTATGGCCCAGTATATCAACTGCTACCTCCAGGTCTGGGAAGCCTTGTGTCACCTTGCACCCCACCTGCGGAAATTTAGCATCACTATGAAGAATCATAAGTTTTAATAAGTCAGTCATCTATAAATTGGCAAGTTTCCATCGCAAAACTGCTGAATTACCAGAGGGTATTGGCATTGGGTCCCTGAGATCAGCGCAGTTCAGCCAGACCTTCGAGGCTGAAGAAGTGATCGATGACAACCAAACCTTTGGCCCGGAACTCCTGGCGATCGAAGATATGACTGATTGGGGGGGTTCAAATTTGTTCAGTGAGTCGGCATCCAGGTAGAGATGGAAAATCCACCGCAAATCACCAGATGACTTGCCACCCGTAGGGCCTCCACGCACGAGTGCCAGGGGTTCTCCAGCCTCAGGGGATCCTGCAGCACCGCACTAAGTCACTAGACATAGTCCAACCCTTGGAGGAGGCCCAGCCTTGGCTTCCCAGAGGCGTTCCCAATCTGCTGGGTAGGGACAGACCTCAATGAAGAGTCAAGAGACCATGGTGAGTCAATGGTGCGCATGGCTGGGGCAGCTACTGAAGACCAGCCGTCCTCAGCCGCTTGAAATGATTGAAACGAGGTGGATTGCCAATTGACGATAGAAACTTGAAATCCTTACCTTAGACCTTAGACTCTCCAACTGTGTGCATAAATGCCCAAGTGTCCTCATCCCCATTTCATCCCAATTCCCCAAAAGTTGCTTGGAGCATGTGCCAGCAAGCTTCATAGCGCCCCTCTCGCAGCTTGCACCTGACCTCGACCGGCAGGTCCTTGAAACGAACCTCGGTCGATGGATGTCGATGGTCAGCTGCAGTCGACTTTTGGGACCCAGCCAAATCAGGCAGCGACACACCAGGGCTCCGCCGTATCCTCCTCTTCCAGAAGTGTGAGCCTGGAAGGCACGGGAGTATGCATCTCCTGCCATGTATGATGAATAGGAAAAGCAGAAGATTGGACCAGATATACAAAGATGATGATCTAGAATCCAAGTTGATCCAAAATCCAAATCCAACACCAAGATTCTTAGGACCTCATCTGAGCCGAAGACACTTGGCGCAGGGCGGCAGGACTGCCATCAAGCCTTCCCAGGGCCTCAAGCCCCAAGGATCGACCATTGGTGGCTTGTGAGCTCCATATGGTACATGACTTGGTACATGTTGATTCACAAAAAGTCCTTTTTGCAAGAAAATGGAGTGGCTTCACCTGCATCACAAATTGATGATTTTAAGCATCAGTTCTTCACACTAGGTCACTAGGTTCCACCAAAACAGCTTGGTGGCCCACCATCTTCTCTAGAAGTGCCAAATCATGGCCTTACCCAACAACCGAGTCTTTCCAGGCTGCAAAGGAGTAGTTTCATCAGGTGCAATGCTGCCAGCCGAACCGGGGGGCCCTGACGCAGGCGGAAAGGCGACACATAGAGCTCCTTGCCAGGGGTGAAAAGCTGGAAGCAACGTCCAGTCCAACTGGGTCTGTCTGATGGAGAATTTACCTCCCAAATGGATACATGTCAGGCCATACTTGAAATATCTTGAAATGATGGATGAGAAACATGATAAACCAACGGACTTTAGGGTGCCCTATGTTCAGTCGACCCCAATGTTGTTCAGTTTCTAATGCTGATATCACATCATTTCACCACCAAATCTGTATGCTCGGGGAATGACCACAGAACTTTTTATGTCATGCCACTTCCAACCCACATGCACCTATGGAATTGCATGGAATATTACCGGAATATCTCAGGCGATGTCAACGATCAATGATTCTGTCCCATGATGACATCTTCTTCACGACTGGATTGCTGTTGGGATCTGATCGGGAGTGGCCTCTTCGTCTTTCTTCATGGAGGCCTCAAGAAACCCGCCGAAGGCCGACGCCGACCAAACGACCAACATTCGGTTTGCCTTGGAAAAAATGCAAACATTGGATGAAACTGGTATTTTTCACATCCATTCAAACCCATGGATCAGCAAAGTTACATCAATCATCATAAGTCTATTCCTATCTTAGCCTTTTGCGTGCCATCACCTGGGAAATCCAAACGCTATGTACTCACTATTTCCCAACTCAAGGGTTTTCCGCCTCTGTCATCCAGCTGAAGATGTGCGTGGCGAGTGACCAGTTCACGGAAACTTCCGAAGGCAGCCGCGTAACTTTTCAGCCGCAGTTGTACTTCTGCCTGGCGCTGGTCGAACTGCTGAACAGGTTAAAGCAATGCACCAATGGATCAAGAAAAATCGGGAGATGTGCTGAATAGTTATATTATATACTATTAGCAACGATTGGAAACCACGATGGAAACAGCACCTTGCGTGCAGCAGATCTAAGCTTTTTCGACATCACTTGCCATCTGCCAAGCGAAAAAAGGTGGGTCGCTAGGTCGCTGCGATCCTCAAACCACAACTCGGCCCAGCTCCTCCAAGTCATGTTCCGCCAAGGCCAGCGCATTGTGATCCCCCGTGGCACGGGCATGTTCGAAGCGGCGCATCGCATCCACCAGCTGTTTGCTTTGGTCGTTGAGATCTTCATAGCGCGGTTCCTCACCATCATCTCCCGTCACCATCTGCCGGAACTTCGCCAAGCGATCATTGATCGACATGGGCTCCGGGATGGTGGAAGGGATCACCTTGCCACTGGCGTCTCGTTGCATCTCGCTCACGGAGCCCAGCTGATCCCAAAGCTTGCTGCGCTCGCGCTTGGTCAAGGTGAGGGATAACTCACCGGCGTCCAAGGACCAAATGATGTCGTCCCCCTTGATCTGGTGGAAGAGCTGTCGGTCGAAAATTGGAACATCTCTTACGGACACCGTGAGCCATTCGCCACCCGAGCCAGAGACCTTGATGTCCTTGGCTGAAATCCCGGCTGGAAGGGACCACCAACAGTATAGCTCCCCGGCTGCCTGTTCAAATCGGGTAGGTTCTCCTCTTCTGGTCCTTTGCAACTTCTTGAGCTCCTCCATTGCCCGGATCTCAGCTACGCTGGCTTCTTCCTCTTCTTCATGGATGATTTGCTGAAACCGGCTTCGGCGCCCCGAAGGTCCTAGACTTTTGGAGGCCTTGGGCTTGAAATTGGCAAACAAATCGTCAATTTCCTTCTTTTCATCCGCGGATATCTGGATGTTGTCTGTCTCAACCGGTTTCTTGGGAGCTGTCAGAGTCAAAGGCAGCTCATCATCCTTCAGCGCGGGTGCTTCCTCGTAGGATTCAAGCATGGGAGTGGGAGCCCTGCCCAAAGCTTGGTCTTCTAAAGCCCTTTCGCGATACTCATTTTTCACCAGTTCATACTCAGCCAGCTCTTGTCTCTGCGACTTGGCTTGTTGCTTCTTGTTTGCCCTCAACTCACGGAAGAAGCTGTCCATCAAGTCCAACTGCTCTTGGGGTAAACCCATCTTGTGGTATGGAAGATCTGAGATGGGCACTTCTTCAGTGGAGTTTTCCCGCATCTGACTGTAGCCCTCAAAAGCTTCCAGACCTTTCTGGTGGTTCATGTCCTGATGGTCAAATCTTAGAACCCTGCCACAAAAAATAGTTGCTCCAAAATAAGTTGTTTAGCGTTTTGTTACATCCTCAATGGCCACAAAAAAAATGAAGAATCTGAAGAATAATGAAGATACATCATTTTACATCAAATAGTCAATAAGTTATTGATAAGAAATGACTATAACTTACAACTTTGTATTAAATAAGGTTTAAACATTTAATAGTCAAAGGTTTTAACCCGTAAACAACTTTGTATTAAATCTGACTATAGAACTGCCCAAGGTTGACCCAGTCCCGTGCATCTCGAGGAATACTGCTGAGATTGGCATCTCCCCGGAGCCTCTGCGGTTTCGACGCCGCAGGACGACCTCCAAAACGAGGAAACAACAGAAAAATATAGAAAACATGATCATGATATATCATGATATATCACGATAATCAATCAAAACAGCCGTCATCATCATAATATATCATAATATCATTTTAACTTTTCAAAAACATCAGAAACATATAACAACCAGAAGAAGAATCACCAGTCATCACCAGTCACCAGTCATCACCATGGTCCACCATGGTCCCATCGTTTCATCACCAGTCATGACCATTCACCATGACCCCATGGCCCCATGGCCTGAGGGCTGTTCGGATGTCACTAGTCGGTCCAGGTCCTGCATCAGCATCTTGGCGTCGTAGTGGCTGGGCTCCAGCTCTAAGCATCGCTGGACCATGCCGATGGCATCACCGTACCTGGGCACCACCGGGCACCACGGCGCCACGGCGCCACGGCTGGTGGGTGAAAATTTGGTGAATTTTCCCAGAAATTGGGAACTCATCTGGAAATGGTACATCTAAATTATGTGTATAGAAAGTACAATGTAAAGAAATTGCCTACTCGAGGAGGTTTTCTTTGGAGCTGGGTCCTGGCTGGGGAGTATTGACCACTTAAAGCCAATGCCATAACCACAAAATTCTATCAGTTTCTCGGAGCTTGGGTATGGCTTATTACATCTGAACCAAAAAGTGAACCTTGAAAAGACTGTGAGTTCAATCCATCTTCCTTGGGCTTGAACAACATTCGATGAATCTGAAATCGAGAGACCGCTTGAGGCCTCGCAAGGCCACAGCAGCTCTCAGCAAGGCCTTGTCGTGACTTGGCTTTGTCACCAGAGCCGCTTCACAGTCCAAGAGTGCCTCTTCCCAACGCTCCATTCGGATGTTGGACTCCGCCCGGTTGGCATAGAGAGTGGCCCGCACCTGGCTATCACTGCAATATTTCTCCAAGGTGCTCAATGCCCTGGACCATTTGGTGGCAGCTTCCTTGTAGGAGCGAGCTGTGAACAGGGCATTACCTTGGTCTTTGAAGGCAAGGGCTGCAGTTTCGGCAGCAGCCTTCAGTGAATCTGATGGATCCACAGCTGGGATGGGCACTTGGCCTGTAAACTTTTTCCAGCCAGATTTGGGGGGCAAAATCTCCTCAGATTGCACCGCATACATGGGCTTTCGGTCCTGCCCCAATATCCAGCCATATGAGGTGAGACCAGTCTTCTGGCTCTTGTGAGGCTCCCTCGAGAGCATGCAGAGTTTGTCATTCTCAAAGATCTCCGCCTCGTGCCACTTCCGGCCCGTTGGGACATAAAGCCCGTTCACATCATCAGAGCCGGCACCTGTGACAAGAATCGCAGCACAGGCGGGAGATGCTTCTGGAGCCATGGAAAAGAAGTTCAAATGGATGGCACCGCGTCCATCACTAATCACTAATCCTACTATCAACTTGGACCTAAAAGTGCGGCAATGCCAACAGCAGCAATGCGACCTGCAAAGGTATGGGAACGAAAGGCTACTTGTGAACAAGCCTTTGGGCTATGGCGGCTATGAGAAATTGCATCTTCCAAAAGTACCGGTGGAACCCCAGTTGCAGGCTTCCACACCAGGTACTTCCCACCTGCATGCGCAGTAGGGAGCTGTGGTTGCCCTTTCCACCTCCAGGGATGAGCGACACGATTTGGCTGGTCTCATCCCTTGGCTGTTGGGGGATGCAGTTCATTGGAAGCTTGAAATTCAAACCACATTTCAAACCAACCCAAGATCATCATGTATCACCCCACTAGAAACCATGCTTTAGGATTATTTGATCTGTTCATAGTCTCTTCGTTTTGGGGGTCCCTGAGATCCCTGAGGCAGCTGCCCTGCAGGATCTTGAGACTTCGCTGCAAACAGCCCCGTGATTTGGAACTCCGTCTCGAAGCGCCTGCAGGATGCTGGGATGCTGCTAACAACATGTCAATCCAATGGTCCAATGGTGATGCATTCAGCCTGCAAGGATCTGGGACATCCATGACACGAGACCGACGAGACCGACGAGACCGCTGCCTAGGACGTACCAAAGCCCTGCGTGAAGCAAGGCGTCGAGGCCTAGCGTCAAATCATGGACAGCCCATGTATCATGTGAAAAATACGAGTCAATTACAGTCATTTGGGATCATCAGTCAGTAGAGACTTTTCTTGGCGGATGGTTTTCGCCAAGGTCCAACTGTGATGGAAAACTATTCCTACACCTTTGCCTGCCTTGTTCTGAGGCACAAAGCGCACATGATTCTACCAAGTAGGGCTGCGAATCCTATGGTTTTGTCTGAACATAGGGTCCCCAAAAATGTGATGGATCGATCATCATGTTCATCATTTTCCCATATACTTTCCGGACTGGCACCCTGCAGCAGAGTTCAAGGGCCTGAAAATTGCCGGATGTTTTAAACTCGGGGGATTTTTGGTCATTTACCGAATCACCAAATCATAAGATTGGGCACCAAAAGTGAGAAATTGAGATCAAATTTGCCATGTTCCTGGTTAAAAAAACAAACTATTTTATTCCTGCAGATGTTCCCTCAAACCAACCCATTGGTTATCATTGGTTTCCCCATTTCCACCGGCTGTGAAGAACATGGGCCCCAACCTGCCGCGCCGCTCGCGCGGCCCTCCAGCGCTGGCTGCGGACATGCGCCTTTCGGACCGCCGAGGCCCAAGTCTCGGGAAAGGGGAGGACATTCTTCCGCTTGTTACGGTAGAGTAGTTCAAAAAACAAATTCTTCGAAATCACTCTAATTCTTAACTCTAATAAAATCACTTTCAGGTATTCAAGTTATTGAAAATCCGTGGTTTCAACATGTTTCAACGATTTCCACGTTCCACAAATCAACCCCATGAGGAAATCGCTCTTTGGGGAACTGATCAGATGGGAAGAAATTGAACCGGCGAAACATTTCGCCGGAACGAATGGATGGTGCCAAAATTTGGAACCTCATTCCAGCCGATGGTTTACAATCATGGGCTCGATTAGAACTGCAAAATAGTTGGGCGTCCCCCAGTAGGTGTCCTAAAATGGGGGTACCCCAAATCATCCAAAATTATCAAAATTTGACCATTTTAGTCGTGAGACCCATGATTTGAAGGTCCCCCATTTTAGAAAACCACCAATATTCCAACACAAAAAGGGAATATGCTGCTCTGCATCTGGCGTCGCCTCCCAAGCTTTAGAGTGAAGCTTCTTGACCTGTCATGTACGCTGGCGGTGCCACTCTTGCGCCCTGGTCAACATCAAATAGTTTGCAAATGGATGTCCATCCAGCCAGCCAAATATATCCAAATATGGTATGATAACAAGGTTTAACATGGATATCACCACCCTTTCCCACCGCCCAAAGAGATGCGCTTTTTCACAGGGAAGCACTGGTCCCAAAAAAAGGTGCTCGGAACGCAAGGCTAGGTGTCGAAGTTTCCCGTGCACGGACGGGGTGCGTCGAACCCATCTCCTTTGGGAGAAGGGATAAATCTAAGGTGGGACAGTGGGAGATGGAGATCGGACCACTAACCAGCAAAGCGTTGGAAAATTCGGCCTCAAAAAATTCGGCATTGGGCAAACCAACCCCAAAAAAAAACTTGTACTTATCAATGATGCTCATGTATCTCTGGTATCTCCCTCTGTTCATCTGGACGATGGCAGTGTTGCCGCTGGCAACGTGGCGCCCACCACGGTGAGCTTCGGCAAGCAAAACTACCACCGGTACATACACATACCAAGCATGGACATGACATATATATATATGTATGTATGTATGTATGTATGTATGTATGTATGTATGTATGTATGTATGTATGTATGTATGTATGTATGTATGTATGTATGTATGTATGTATGTATGTATGTCATGTATGTATGTATGTGTGTGTGTGTGCGTGTGTGTGTGTATTTATTGATCTATCTATTTATTTGTTATATTGTATATGTATATTCATATGTCATATGTCATATGTCATATGTCATATGTCATATGTCATATGTGTATGTATATGTATATGTACATGTATAATCATGTATATGTATATGTATATGTACATGTATAATCATGTATATGTATATGTATATGATGTGTGTGTATGTATATGCAAATATGTTCTATGTATTTAGTATTAGTTATGTATTTTTGAAAAAAAAAACAACTGACATCATGTACTGACCAACATGCTTGAATTTATCCACAAAGCACAAGTGATGAACTGGAGATTTCTTATGATTTCTTCAGTGCCCATTTCTCAAGGCATGTCCTCCCAGGTGATTGACACCCGGCAAGGTTTTTGCCAGCCCCGTGACTGACCAAGGCAGGTTCAATAATCAGGGTTGATCCCAGAACCCCGGATGGCTGGTAAAATGTTCATGGCTTCATTCACCTATAAAATTAGTTGATGAGTTGGAGCAACCCTAGATCATCGGCTAGCTTTGTCAAGCCCAGTGCGGGCCGATTCAGCCGAGAGTTGTGCCGTGTCTCTGCGCCACACTGGATCAGTGCGGGCAGACTGCTGGTTGCAGAATACCCTGCAGAATCCAATGCGAAATGAACACATATTCGATGCAACTAACCAGCTGATAGCGTCGGGGTACTAAATTTGTACCACAAACCAACAGGGTCAACTGATGTCAACCAGTGCTCAGCTCAGAACTGAAACTTCCACGTTCCAATGAGGCCAGTGTGTTTCGAGAGACGTCAGCTGGGCGCGGCTTAAGCATGGGGGTGACAACATCCCCTTGACTAATTGGTTTAGAAGGATGGGACATTACACCCATCTCCAGGATATCCCACGGACCGCGCCGGAATTGTCCGCGGAACCACTGGAACCACTGGAACCACTGGAATTGTCGCCGGTGCCGGCCATGTCGCTGAGAGCCTGGAAGAGAGGGTTGAGAGGGTTGAGCTGTCCGCTCGGGACACGAAAATGTGTCAGTTGAATCAAGTTCAATCCCAAGAAGTATGACTCAATGACTAGTATAGGAAAAGACGGTTTATATAAACAGTTGGTATATCAATTTATATCTGACATCAACGATGTCCCGCCTGAAGTTCGATCGAGGTGCAGATGGCACCCAAACACCGGGGTAAGATGGACCTGATTCGTGCGGAGACATGTTGCTACGAAGGACTCGGATTACAGGCATAGGCAGTATAGGTTTGTCTCAAAATGACAGATATCCCAACATGTTTTTAAAACCATCATTAACCATAGTTTGATGGTGAAAATGATGTGATTTTATGATGGAAAAACATGATGTGAACGTTGAGAAAACCCCTGGGATGGGGCTCCAACGGCTCCCATGTTCCACCATCTCCCACCCCAACTGGGGAACGGACGGGGCTCTGGTGCCGACCATGCTCCTGGTGCCTGGAAATCAGATTGGTGAAAGTGGAGTAGTTTCACCAAAGGAACATCAAAATTAGAGAAACTCAAACATAGTTGATGGAAACAATCAGCTGAGATGTATATAACTTGATATATTGAGATTTGGCATTGAACCCTTATCTCGGACCAGAGAGTGAACAAATGCTGATGGATTCTGCCATGGACTGAAGTATGCCAAGGCCTTCACAGCAGAAATTGATAGGTTTGCTGATGATTGAGCGCAAAGTCTTTGATAAATTTGATAATGATTGACCGATTGACCGCGCCCACCCATGCACAACAAACACATCCAGTTGCACGGCGGCAAACACACTCCAGCCTGAATTTGCCCGCAGAGCGTGTGTCGCCGAGTCATAGGGGCCCCTGAGAGCCCTGAGGGATGTCCATCATGGCCCTTCTGAAAGCAGATTGGATCGCCAAAAAGTCAGGAACCAACAGGGAAAAACATGGGATGCAATGAAAAGCAGTTGTTCACTAACAGGAAAGGCATGGAAATGAAATCTCCCCTTGTTTGGCCACCGCCTGCAGCGGAAGGAACCAAAGGAACCGAAGGAATCTGCACCATGCGACTGCCGCGTGGCACGCCGAATTTCCTCAGAGACATCGAGAATCACAGCACTGCCTGCGGCCACGGAAGCTGCTGAAAATCTGCGGATGGTTGCGGCTGGTGAAAATCGGTTGCGTCACATGGCCAAGTTGCACATGTCCACTGGGAGCAGGCTCCTGGAGGCAACAAGCCACTGGAATCCCAAAAAGACATCAAACATGATATGATCAGAAATCTGAACAACTGACTGGTGGTTAAGACTGCGGAAAGCAATCCAAAACATTTTATTTCACCATCCCATTTGAATTTGCTGACTGGACAATGAAAGACATTGAAAGACCATTTTCGAAACCACCAACCCAATCTTGGTTGTACTCCGCTGGCCATTCCCTTTTATCATAATTCTATTCCCACGATGCTCACTTATTTATGTAAATATAGATATATTCGTATATATATATATACATATATATATATACATTCTCTCTTTTGATATATATATAGTATGCATATAGATATATACACAGTATATGCTACACGTGTGTGTGTGTGTGTTTGTGTGTTACATATTTACGCGTGTGTATTTGTACAATTATATGCATATGTATATACATATACATATATATATATGTCTCTATATATGCATACTACACATAATGAAGATATTTCGTTACTTGATACCCAGTGAAGCCTCCCCATCTCCTCCTTGGCTTGCGGAGAAACAGTGCGCAGAATGCTGGCGCCTGAGCATCCGCGAGGCTTCAACCGATCCATGGCTGGAGAATCCATGGAAATTCCCATGGAAAATGATGGGAAATCCATGGAAGTTCCCCTTTTTGATGGTATATTTAAGAGTTAAATATGGTTAAATGTGGCAGATTGGCGTTGTTGGGATATCAACCATCACATACATCTAGGTGCTCAATCATCAACAAGGATAGCTTCCCCTTGAGTTTGATCACCTTCCAAAACATGACTCTGCTCTTTGCCTGGCATGCACGCGAAATGTATGGAAAATGGATGGAAAATGTCACATTGAACATCTCACGAACCATCCTCCCAGGGTCCCACTTCGAGATTTCAGCGAGTCACGAGGCTTTGAAGGTGCAGTGCGACCTTGGGTCCGTCGCCAGGAGATCGGTTTTTCAACAACTTGGGGTTCAAAGCACCAGCCATTCTTGGAACATGTTGTAATCCCCCTGTGTTGGATATTTCTTGTGGTTTTAGCATGTGAACAACCCACCCCTGTGTGGGACATTTTAGGACACGTGATTCTAGTGGAAAGCCAATAAACACAAAGATGAAAAAAAAAACTGCAAGTTGGGATGGCAAATATATACAACCCATGTCTGATAGAATTCAGATGATATCAAGGACATTTAAGGACATTTACAACATATGTTTGGTAAACCATACGGGTAAACCATGTTAGGCAGCTTTTCCATGGCTTTCCCAATGGCTTTTCCTTTGCGGGATCCGCACTGGTCCAAGTGTCTAAGCTTCTGGAGGAGTTCAGAGGCTTCACGATGAAGTTTCTCGGCGCCCATTTCCTGGTAATGTAAGGTGCTTCACAAACCACGAGTTAACCACTGGTAATTTAACATAGCTATGGAAAATCACCATTTTTAATGGGAAAACTATGGAAAATCACCATTTTTCATGGGAATATCCACTATAAATTGCCATTTTCAATAGCTACGTTAAATTACCAGAGGGTAGTTGAGGGAAAAAAAAACTGGAGACATGTTGGGATCAATTTTTTAAAATCCAGATTCCAGCTGACGCATCGGACAAAAATCAGGGGAATCTGTTTTGCCAGATTCCTGACTTACCTGACTTGGAGATTTGTGGGTCCTTAGAAATCATGACAGCGATTTTTTGGTTTCCCATGTTTCCCCGGGCCTTGGGCTTTGGTTGCTTGCGTTGGTGGAAGATTTCTAGACCACGAGCTCCCAGCATCGCATTCTCCAGGACCAAACTCCTGACCATTGAAGCCCAAAAAACATGGAAAACATGGTTTGGTTTGGCAATAACAGGGGATACCACATGCATCAAGCATCATCCATACATGGCCAACAAAGCAATCATTCTTCTAATAGATGGAGGATCTCCTCTTCTCCACCTGTAGCTCTTCAACCTCGATCATCAGCAGAATCAGATTTTTTCAGGTCAAGTAATGGAGTAAAGACCTACAAAATGGAAAAAATAAAATAATATCACTTCATTCAGCATTTGTTCCATCTCAGAGTCTCTTGCTGATTTTCCATGGGTTTTCCACCAAGGCACCAGTTCCTTGTGGATCTGCAATTCGTTCTCCAAAGAGGACAAATAGCTTTCAGCTGTTAGCGCACGGTCCTTCATGGCCTGACAGGTCAGCCATGGTCAGCCGAAGAATTCTGAACCGGGATCTACGGGAGCTGCAATGACTATGGTATATTATACTAGGACACTCTAGAAAAAACGCATGTGTATATAGGTATGTAAATATATTTATATATACACAAATATGCCAATAGGTGTATGTATATATCTATATGTATAGGTATACATATATATATATGTTGCAATATGCATACGTGTACCTGCGTCAAGAATAATTTAAGAACCATGAAACCCTGCAGTTGCCGAATTTTCCAGCTCCTTGCATTGAAGTTCAGCAGCAAACGCCCGCTGCCCTTTGACCTGCAACAGCTGGGTTGATGATGAATGGTTGATGATGAATGGTTGATGTCAATAATCCAAGCCTCTCGATTGTTGGTTATCGTATCCCCATTTTTTTCATAGTTGAATCATCCATAGATGATCTAATCAGTTTGTTCAAGTTTCTTCCAATATCTCTTCGAAAAGGCAACCTTTGGGCATCCAATTTTTGCTCCGCCTCCAGCTGCATGGACTGCAAGAAGACCAATCGAGCAAGTTTCACCACTTCTTCTCCCTGGCACTGGCAGGACTGGACGATCTTCATGGGACAAGAATGACAAATCACATGGCTTCATCATGCAATTTCATCATGTGAAACGTAAAAAAAAAACAATGAAACCGCTAAGCATGCCAAGCGATAATGATTTCCCCCCCTGTCACGTAGAAACAGAAGAGAATGTATCATGAAATCCCGTCCTCACTACTGTGTTTGGCTGTCTTGTGCTCAGCCTCAATGAGACCAGGCAGGTCTACATGAATCTGAAGAGGGCCTACATAGCTGCAGTATAATAACTGTAAACCTCAGGTATGTGCGCATATATGAATATATATATATATAGATATTCAGCTATAGACATATGTAGAGAGAGAGAGAGAGATAGGTAGATAGATTGATGGATTGATTGATAAGAGATTGATAGATAGGTAGATAGGTAGGTAGATATGTCATGTAGCTGGTTGGTGGGCTAAGTTTTTGTTGGAAACATTGATGTTGGTCATGAACTTCACATATCAGAAGAATCTGCGTCAGGTCTGGTGGTTTCCGATAAGTAGGGATGGAAAACACCATGCACGTATTCAAAAGCCCAGACCGGCAAGGCTACGAGGACAAGAACTTCACAGATCACTGAATCTTTCAAATGGGAATGGTTTCAAAAGTCAAAACCTACAACACATTATATACAATACCATATTTATATACCATATATATATACATATATTTATTTATTTATTTACTTACTTATTTATTTGTTTGTTTGTTTATTTACTGTAACTTATTGATTTATCTATCTATCTATCTATCTAACTAACTAACTAACTAACTCTATCCATCCATCCATCCATCCATCCATCCATCCATCCATCCATCCATCTATTCATTTATGTATCATATTTCAGGAGGATGAAATAGGATGAACATCCATAACTGACACCAACTACTGGTCAGATGGACCCGTGGGGCCCCAAGGGGGCCCCGACACGTCTGGGCTCCCATATCTCGCTACCGCTGGCTTCCTCGCCAGTTTCCATCGCATTGAGTTGACTCACGATACCTGGCAATCATGGAATCCCTTGGAAGGGGGAAGTGCTAAGTGCTCCAGGTCATGTATTATGTATATACATATATATGTATAGAGATATATTGATATGTGGATAGTCTATATATATATATGTGTGTGTGTGTATTGTATTGTGTGTATATATATATATATATATCTTTACCGGAAAGTGGACATATTCATGTATATAAAGACTATAAAGATATATACTTTATATATCATTGTGGAGATATATACTTTATATATCTTATGTACTGCAAATTTCGGCCATGTTCCATTCAAAAAATCCAGCGATTTACGCCGCCTTGCGGAAGATCGTTCCACAACTTGTCCATGGACTCTCGGCAAATCCGGGAAAATCGTTGCCTGGCACCGGATTCAGTACCCGGCAACATCCATAGGAAAACCATTGGAAAACCATAGGAAAACCATTGGAAAACCCATAGGAAAACCATTGGAAAACCATGGGAAAACCATAGGAAACCATTGGAAAACCATTGGAAAACCATTGGAAAACCATTGGAAAACCATTGGAACCATAGGAAAACCATTGGAAAACCATTGGAAAACCATAGGAAAACCATTGGAAAACCATTGGAAAACCTGCAAAGTGGTAAGTTGAAAGCATACCTAAGAGGTAAACGTGTTCATACCTATTGAAAATCACCACTTTTAATAGGTAAACCAACGAACTAACTGGGCCATTTTCCATAGCTATGTTAAATTACCAGAGGGTATAAGTCTCAAAATGTACCAATTGAAAATCAGTAATTGGGGACAGAAAGCTTCGGTGGAACAAAGTTCCTGGTCAAAATTGGTCATTGTCATTGCTGATCATCATACAATCTTCAAGAATGATATTTTTGAGACACAAGCAGAACATCATAGCTCACCCCAAGAACTCGGCGCATATAGTTACCAACAGTAACATGGGTGAAGGATCAAAACTTATATCTTTATTGCAATCACTGAAGTTCCAAACATGCAATCATGAAGCCATGACTACCCATACCTCGAAATTGGTTTGCATACAAAAACATAAGCCCCATGAAAATGGATTGATGACCATCCCCCAGTCAATGGGTCGATCTAAGTTTTACCATGGTACATATAGAAATAAAGTTGGCTTTTATAACTAACCATATAGCCTAGCCATATGTCACAGCCATAGTTAATCATATCTCAAAGTTTTACTTGCGACGAAGCCTGATTTAGGCGTAGGCTATGTCTGCACCTAATTACTCTTATGTATACATGTGATTAAAGAAATGGTTTGTCTGAGAATGGGGTATATACCCCTAAATCCATTAACCATCATAATCCTCAGAATTGCCATTTGGACCTAAAACCATTTTCAGATACACCCATCTCTCAAAACTGCAAAAAAAAGTGCGGACAAACACCCATAGATCATATATGGTATCCCATAAAATCCCATTAATATGTCATTAAATCCCATTCATATATCCCCATATCGATGGATAATTCATGATTTATCATCTCATCAAGAAATCCCATTCTTACATCCCATGTTAAAGATTGATAAATGCCATGCATACCACATGTTATATCCCACTAAATCACCGTCAACTCACCATCAACTCACCATTTTTTTGGCTAAATCTCCATGAAAACAGCGTGGTTTATCCCGAACCCCTCAGATGACCATCTCAACCCCTTAGCTTTCCAAAGTTCCCAAAAAAAATCGGAACTGCCCATTAAATCACCATTTGAGTTGGCTAAATCCCTACAAATCACCATTTTGGTTGCTTCAATCCCCATGGAATCACAACTTATCATCCCATTAAAAACGAGTTCCCAACAGCTTTCCTCACCTGGACTGCTTATCCTCCTCGCTGGTGGCCACAGATACCAGGTGCATCAGCTGGTCCATCCGTGCCAGGACGGCATCCACCTGACTTTTATGGTGATTTCGATGGGATTTCACCCACCAATTGCTGGATTTTATGGTGATTTCGATGGAGATTTAACCACCAATTCATGCTGATTTTATGGTGATTTCGATGGGGATTTCACCCACCAATTGCTGGATTTTATGGTGATTTCGATGGAGATTTAACCACCAATTCATGCTGATTTTATGCTGATTTCGATGGGATTTCACCCACCAATTGCTGGATTTTATGCTCATTTCGATGGAGATTTAACCACCAATTCATGCTGATTTTATGGTGATTTCGATGGGGATTTCACCCACCAATTGCTGGATTTTATGGTGATTTCGATGGAGATTTGACCACCAATTCATGCTGATTTCATGGTGATTTCGATGGGGATTTCACCCACCAATTGCTGGATTTTATGGTGATTTCGATGGAGATTTAACCACCAATTCATGCTGATTTCATGGTGATTTCGATGGGGATTTCATCCACCAATTGCTGGATTTTATGGTGATTTCGATGGAGATTTAACCACCAATTCATGCTGATTTTATGGTGATTTCGATGGGGATTTCACCCACCAATTGCTGGATTTTATGGTGATTTCGATGGAGATTTAACCACCAATTCATGCTGATTTTATGGTGATTTCGATGGATTTAACCACCAATTCATGCTGATTTCATGGTGATTTCGATGGGGATTTCACCCACCAATTGCTGGATTTTATGGTGATTTCGATGGAGATTTAACCACCAATTCATGCTGATTTTATGGTGATTTCGATGGGGATTTCACCCACCAATTGCTGGATTTTATGGTGATTTCGATGGAGATTTAACCACCAATTCATGCTGATTTTATGGTGATTTCAATGGGGATTTCACCCACCAATTGCTTGATTTTATGGTGATTTCGATGGAAATTTAACCACCAATTCATGCTGATTTCATGGTGATTTCGATGGGGATTTCACCCACCAATTGCTGGATTTTATGGTGATTTCGATGGAGATTTAACCACCAATTCATGCTGATTTTATGGTGATTTCGATGGGGATTTCACCCACCAATTGCTGGATTTTATGGTGATTTCGATGGAGATTTAACCACCAATTCATGCTGATTTATGGTGATTTCGAATTTCATGCTGATTTCGATGGATTTTATGGTGATTTCGATGGAGATTTAACCACCAACCAATTGCTGGATTTTATGGTGATTTCGATTTTCTGGATGGTGATTTCGATGGGATTTAACCAACCAATTCATGCTGATTTTATGGTGATTTCGATGGGATTTGACCCACCAATTGCTGGATTTTATGGTGATTTCGATGGAGATTTAACCACCAATTCATGCTGATTTCATGGTGATTTCGATGGGGATTTCACCCACCAATTCATGCTGATTTTATGGTGATTTGGATGGAGATTTAACCACCAATTCATGCTGATTTTATGGTGATTTCGATGGGGATTTCACCCACCAATTGCTGGATTTTATGGTGATTTCGATGGAGATTTAACCACCAATTCATGCTGATTTTATGGTGATTTCGATGGGATTTGACCCACCAATTGCTGGATTTTATGGTGATTTCGATGGAGATTTAACCACCAATTCATGCTGATTTTATGGTGATTTCGATGGGGATTTCACCCACCAATTGCTGGCTTTTATGGTGATTTCGATGGAGATTTAACCACCAATGGGGATTTCATGCTGATTTTATGGTGATTTCGATGGAGATTTAACCACCAATTCATGCTGATTTTATGGTGATTTCGCATGCTGATTTTTTTGATTTCGAGTGATTCACCCACCAATTGCTGGATTTTATGGTGATTTCGATGGAGATTTAACCACCAATTCATGCTGATTTTATGGTGATTTCGATGGGGATTTCACCCACCAATTGCTGGATTTTATGGTGATTTCGATGGAGATTTAACCACCAATTCATGCTGATTTTATGGTGATTTCGATGGGGATTTCACCCACCAATTGCTGGATTTTATGGTGATTTCGATGGAGATTTAACCACCAATTCATGCTGATTTTATGGTGATTTCGATGGGGATTTCACCCACCAATTGCTGGATTTTATGGTGATTTCGATGGAGATTTAACCACCAATTCATGCTGATGCTGATTTTAATGGTGATTTCGATGGGATTTGACCCACCAATTGCTGGTTTTATGGTGATTTCGATGGCAGATTTAACCACCAATTTCATCGTGATTTTTATGTTGATTTTCGATGGGATTTGACCACGCAATTGCTGGATTTTAATGTCATTTCGATGGAGATTTAACAGCCAATTCATGCTGATTTGTAATGGTGATTTCGATGGGATTTGACCCACCAATTGCTGGATTTTATGGTGATTTCGATGGAGGTTTAACCACCAATTCATGCTGATTTTATGGTGATTTCGATGGGGATTTCACCCACCAATTGCTGGATTTTATGGTGATTTCGATGGAGATTTAACCACCAAGTCATGCTGATTTTATGGTGATTTCGATGGAGATTTAACCACCAATTGCTGGATTTTATGGTGATTTCGATGGGATTTGACCCACCAATTGCTGGATTTTATGGTGATTTCGATGGAGATTTAACCACCAATTCATGCTGATTTTATGGTGATTTCGATGGGGATTTCACCCACCAATTGCTGGATTTTATGGCGATTTCGATGGAGATTTAACCACCAATTCATGCTGATTTTATGGTGATTTCGATGGGATTTGACCCACCAATTGCTGGATTTTATGGTGATTTCGATGGAGATTTAACCACCAATTCATGCTGATTTTATGGTGATTTCGATGGGATTTGACCCACCAATTGCTGGATTTTATGGTGATTTCGATGGAGATTTAACAACCAATTCATGCTGATTTCATGGTGATTTCGATGGGGATTTCACCCACCAATTGCTGGATTTTATGGCGATTTCGATGGAGATTTAACCACCAATTCATGCTGATTTTATGGTGATTTCGATGGGATTTGACCCACCAATTGCTGGATTTTATGGTCATTTCGATGGAGATTTAACCACCAATTCATGCTGATTTTATGGTGATTTCGATGGGGATTTGACCCACCAATTGCTGGATTTTATGGTGATTTCGATGGAGGTTTAACCACCAATTCATGCTGATTTTATGGTGATTTCGATGGGGATTTCACCCACCAATTGCTGGATTTTATGGTGATTTCGATGGAGATTTAACCACCAAGTCATGCTGATTTTATGGTGATTTCGATGGAGATTTAACCACCAATTGCTGGATTTTATGGTGATTTCGATGGGATTTGACCCACCAATTGCTGGATTTTATGGTGCTTTCGATGGAGATTAAACACCAATTTCTGCTGATTTTTATGGTGATTTCGATGGGGATTTCACCCACCAATTGCGGATTTTGATGGTGATTCGGATGAGATGTAACCACCAATTCATGCTGATTTATGGTGATTTCGATTGATTGAACCCACAATGCTGGGATTTTTATGTTGATTTCGATGGAGATTTAACCACCAAATTCATGCTGATTTTTTGGTGAGTCGATGGGATTGGACCCACCAATTGCTAGCTTTTATGGGATTTTAGATGGGATTAACCACCAATTCATGCTGATTTCATGGGGATTTCGATGGGGATTCTCACCCACCAATTGCTGGATTTTATGGCGCTTTCGATGGAGATTTAACCACCAATTCATGCTGATTTTATGGTGATTTCGATGGGATTTGACCCACCAATTGCTGGATTTTATGGTCATTTCGATGGAGATTTAACCACCAATTCATGCTGATTTTATGGTGATTTCGATGGGGATTTCACCCACCAATTGCTGGATTTTATGGGGATTTCGATGGAGATTTAACCACCAATTCATGCTGATTTTATGGTGATTTCGATGGGGATTTCACCCACCAATTGCTGGATTTTATGGTGATTTCGATGGAGATTTAACCACCAATTCATGCTGATTTTATGGTGATTTCGATGGGATTTCACCCACCAATTGCTGGATTTTATGGTGATTTCGATGGAGATTTAACCACCAATTCATGCTGATTTCATGGTGATTTCGATGGGATTTCACCCACCAATTGCTGGATTTTATGGTGATTTCGATGGAGATTTAACCACCAATTCATGCTGATTTCATGGTGATTTCGATGGGATTTCACCCACCAATTGCTGGATTTTATGGTGATTTCGATGGAGATTTAACCACCAATTCATGCTGATTTTATGGTGATTTCGATGGGATTTGACCCACCAATTGCTGGATTTTATGGTGATTTCGATGCAGATTTAACCACCAATTCATGCTGATTTCATGGTGATTTCGATGGGGATTTCACCCACCAATTGCTGGATTTTATGGTGATTTCGATGGAGATTTAACCACCAATTCATGCTCATTTTATGGTGATTTCGATGGGATTTGACCCACCAATTGCTGGATTTTTTGGTGATTTCGATGGAGATTTAACCACCAATTCATGCTGATTTTATGGTGATTTCGATGGGGATTTCACCCACCAATTCATGCTGATTTTATGGTGATTTGGATGGAGATTTAACCACCAATTCATGCTGATTTTATGGTGATTTCGATGGGGATTTCACCCACCAATTGCTGGATTTTATGGTGATTTCGATGGAGATTTAACCACCAATTCATGCTGATTTTATGGTGATTTCGATGGGATTTGACCCACCAATTGCTGGATTTTATTGTCATTTCGATGGAGATTTAACCACCAATTCATGCTGATTTTATGGTGATTTCGATGGGATTTGACCCACCAATTGCTGGATTTTATGGTGATTTCGATGGAGATTTAACCACCAATTCATGCTGATTTCATGGTGATTTCGATGGGGATTTCACCAACCAATTGCTGGATTTTATGGTGATTTCGATGGAGATTTAACCACCAATTCATGCTGATTTTATGGTGATTTCGATGGGATTTGACCCACCAATTGCTGGATTTTATGGTGATTTCGATGGAGATTTAACCACCAATTCATGCTGATTTTATGGTGATTTCGATGTGGATTTCACCCACCAATTGCTGGATTTTATGGTGATTTCGATGGAGATTTAACCACCAATTCATGCTGATTTTATGGTGATTTCGATGGGGATTTCACCCACCAATTGCTGGATTTTATGGTGATTTCGATGGAGATTTAACCACCAATTCATGCTGATTTTATGGTGATTTCGATGGGATTTGAACCACCAATTGCTGGATTTTATGGTGATTTCGATGGAGATTTAACCACCAATTCATGCTGATTTTATGGTGATTTCGATGGGATTTGACCCACCAATTGCTGGATTTTATGGTGATTTCGATGGAGATTTAACCACCAATTCATGCTGATTTTATGGTGATTTCGATGGGGATTTCACCCACCAATTGCTGGATTTTATGGTGATTTCGATGGAGATTTAACCACCAATTCATGCTGATTTTATGGTGATTTCGATGGGATTTGACCAACAAGAATGTGGATTTGATGGTTTCGATGGAGATTTTTCATGGTGCAACAGGGAAATTTTTTGATGGGGATGTCTTCCAGGAATATGATGGGAAAATGCGAATGGAACAAAAGGCTTTTCAAGCAAGTTGCAACGGAAAAGTAGCTCTGGATGTTCACCAAATCTTGGGGTATGGTTCAACTTATACCCAGATGATCAAAAAATGGGGATTCTCAACCAGATTTTTTCATTCACACACCCATTTTTGTGGCCATTGAAAAGATCAGGAAATTGTGACTTAAATTAAACTGTGGGAGTTCGATAAATATGATTTTGTCTCGGCAGAACTTGCTTGGGGGGCCATTTTGTGCATTGTGATGTTTTAGACTCTGGGATCTTTATGGATGTTTGGGTTTCCCGACATTCCTAGAACAAACAACCCAAGTAAGGTGGTAAAGCCAAGAATGATTTCGCACCGAAGTTAGAATTTAACTATGAACGAATGGAAGCTTCTTCGTGTCAATAATGTCCTTTTGGTAAAAATAGAGGGGCCGATTTGGTATACCATCTATTATCATTTACCTGTTGTTAAAGGGGTAAACAAACCCCTCTATTAACCAACCAACCAATGGGAAAAGGACATCTATGATTCGTGTACAGGATAAGAATATACGGTATACAGGATGATCCAACCAAACCGATGGCAAATCCAAAACCATGAACAATCCCCAATTTTTCCAAACATGCCTAGAAACCAAGCCTGAGTGGAGATGTACCACTGGGTGTGCGGCCACAGTATTGAGGATATAAACAGATGGAAAAATTATCAAACCCTATTTTCATAGGCTCTGAACATATTTGACCCCATATTCTTCGGATCTTTCGACCCGCGCGCAGCACCTATTTTCCCGATTTCCCACCTCCACATCATCACCACTTTCCGACATATTTCCCAGGTCGACCGGGGCAGTCATCTGCCATTCCGCCTGGCCATGGCGGGGCCATGGCGGAGCGATTCCACGGAGTCAGGGCAGCCAGCTGATTCCCTAGAACTCAGATATAGATGGGTGTACTTAGATATAGTGATCGGCTGGTGCATGTTTTAAACCCTACCAATCTACCAAGAAGAGAAAAGACTTTCTTAAAGAAGTCATTTCCGTCTGGGTGAGTTCGAAATAGTTCTTAGTCTTAAACAATGCCCAGGGGGAAAACAAAAACAATGTCTGATCCAATCCCACCACCTCCGTGGCTGCGGTGGAAGGTGACGGCACAGCCATGTCTTTCTCCATGGCTGCATGAGAAGTGTGAGAGTTCTGCAGATCAGGTTTTTAGCATATTCAGTCATAGTACTGTGGGAATTTGGATGGGGATGGCGAGATTGTTAGAGAAATAACATATCATGTCATCAAGGTCCATCTGGTAGGATAAGCGAATGAAACCATGAACTAACCGGAGTTGGGTCAATGGTGCTTGAGTTGGCTGTGTCCAAGGTGGCGTTCTCTGCGTTCGTAGCACTGCTGGATGAGTTTCTACCATGGCCTTTCCGATCGCCTTGAGGCACTATCACGGAAAAAACGGACGGCCAATGTGCATCGACACGGCTAGAGCTATCGCCACGTGCATCAGTTGCACAGCTTGCTGCACCCTTCAGTTGTTTCTTGTTTTTCAAGCCCAAAGAGGCCCAAAGCGGTGAGGAGCCACTGTAGCCACTGGCTCGCAGTCTTTGCTGGAAAATAGTCCATCCTTTTTGGTGGACAGCAGTGCACTGTAGCTAGACACACCATGGGCTTGAGCTGTGGCCCGCCACTTTTACAAACTGCCTGGGGCCAAGCTGCCGGCCCTGATTTCGGCAATCAACTTCAGCCCCAAGGCAGCCAATCCTAGTCATGATCCCCATCATCCAAGCCTTCCAAGCCTTCCAAGCCATCAACATCATCAAGGAAGGTCTCAAATGCCGTCCTTTCCTCAGCCCCTTCCGGTGCAGGTGGTGCAGGTGGAGCCGCTGGCGCGCCTTCCATGGCTGCCGGTGCAGGTGCGGCTTCAGGGGCCGTCCTGGCTGCTGCATCGTCCGCAGCCTTAGGGGGAAATGAGAAGTTCGAACAGGCTCATAAGGACTCATAAGGAAACCTCTGGAAACGGCCATGTTTAGTTGATGGATAGTGACATGAATGGTAAAAGGCAAGGTTTCTTATAGATGTTCGCGTGAACTCACCCGGAAGCCACCTGCTTGAGGTATTCTGGACTAAGGAACTGCACACAGCACTGAGGACGTGGCGCGAATGTCCTGAGAATCAGACAACGAAGTATAGGTGAAAGAGGTGGAATGGTGGGTTCTCAAAATTTCTCAAATCAGGTGCTGAAGAAGTCACAGCTTCTCAGTGCCAAGTTTCCAGGATCATCCCCTCAGCAGATTCCAGGACCTTCCATGTATCACACCATCCGGCACGGTCTCCCAGCCGTTTTTTGAACCACGCGCCTTGCCGGACAGGAGCTTCAAAAAGCGATACAGGGAGTAGAAGACGCGGAAGAGGCCGGCAATGATCATCACCGCCGAAATCACCGGCAAAGGGTTGGAATCTCCTGTGGACGTCGCCTGCCTTGGAGTTGCCAGAGCCAGCGGATGCCAGCGGACTTTCCCTGGCACCCTGGGGTCGGATTCGGAGTGCCGAGCCACTGAGTTAGGAAGAAGCCCAGGGAGTTACATCCGCTCATACCAACCATGGTCAGGCCATGCATCAGGTGGACCTGCAGCGGAGGGACAGGAGGAAGACTACATTGACTACATCAAACTGAGTAACTCAAAGGATCCAAAGGTAATTTGATGTGACAACTGTAACATCAAACCCGACCTCCTGACCTACGCACGTCCTTCCCCCTTCAGCCAAGAGGCGAATGGAATTCCACAAATCATCCATTCGTTCATTCGCATGATGATGCGCAACAACTCCTGGCAATGTCAAAGGCTGGTCTCAGCTGCCCTTCTCCAAGTTCCAGTTGTCTCTAGCTGAACTGTCATGAACTGTCCTCCTTGTCTTCCTCTTGAATACCACTGACGTTGGTCACTTGCTCCATGAAGTTGTCAGAGAAGAGCTGGCAGCGCAACTCTTGAGGCTTCTGGTGTTCCAACGCTGCGCAAACGACATCCACACGCGCGCGCGCGCCTGGTAGTCCCCATCACCATGGTGAAACCTCAGTGGCTCCCCAAAATTTTGCACTGCCCAGGCCAAAAAAACGTCACCGAGGCTCCAATGGATGCAATAGCAAATGTAAGCGCAAAGTATCACCACACCTCACCAATCGAGCTGAGCGTCGTGCGCCACCGCGACAATCGGTACTGGGATGATTTCTTAGTTACAATTTACAATCATACTTGGATATTCAAACCAGCAAGGCCAGTAAGGATATAGAACTTCCACCCCAACCAGCACCACTTCGTTCATCTCCAGGGAGTTGTGCAGCTGTGGCACCACCAAACACCACCAAGGTGACGGTGTGTAAGACCAGTGCTGATCTCAAGATGTTTGCATACCTCATGATGCTCTGCTGGGGGTTACAGTATAAGTTAGAAATGCAAAAAAGATGCTAGCTTTCGGACATCCACATCAGTGACATGTGGAAATTTGAATGCCATCTTCTCGTATGCGGACCAAATCATCACAGTTTGAACCGCCAAATGTCAGGGCCAAGCTGCAGTGCTCGCTGCACTGAGTATTCAAAGTGACACTGGTCGCATCGAAACCTGTCAGCATTTCCCAGGCGGTAGACTCGATGATAAACCATCTCCAATTGGGTTTATGAGGTTTATGATTGGCATTGATTGGGTTTACCATGTTTACCACAGGGGAATTGGACTGATGTCCTCTTGAGGGAGAGACAAAACTACTCAAAGCTGGAAATGGTACGAATTTTCTGCATGGTTTCTGCCCCTAAAATCGACATGATCAATGAAATCATGATCAAGAGCAGTTGGCTCCTTATTGCTCCTTGGGCTATTTTTGGTAGTTCCCCCAGCTGATTTTCCAGAGGTTTGCTTCCAAGTCGCGAGGATTGAGGATTTGCACTTGCAAAGCGCCACATGTTGAGGCAGTCCATGTGCACAAATCGCATGGTTCCAGAACCTCACAGCAGCCCTGGAAAATCCACTTGGGAAAATATGAGACGGAAAATTGTTGACAAAAACCCACAACTCCCACGTGCCAAGGCTGTCGTTATATCGTACTTGCGCACCGGGGGATCAGCGCTAAACCGGCGCAGCTTGGGCTCTCAACCTTCTCCGTCAGGAAATTAAGAACCTGTAAGCCCATTCTTGCAGCAAGGCCACATAAACATGGAGAGATCAATCCTTGGTACACGACTTCCGCATCCTGCTTTAAGCAACTCGAAATTTCACCGACGCTGTTAAAACGCAACACACATTTTGAGGAAAGACTCTTCCGCTTTCGCTGCCTCCAAAGCAAATCCGGCAGCTGGGTTGAGAATCCTCATCCTGACATGGCTTGACTCAGATCGACCCTCCGGTGACCATCCATTTCAATCATTTCAGAGCTAGCTGCCTAAATCATAAATTGAAGCCCCTATATTTGTCCAAGGTGAATATAATTCCCAATTATTGTTGAATATGTGCAGTTGAAGAAATATGCAGAAATTCCTTCAAACCAACTGCGAACAGCCTGAAAAAACAATGACTAAAGTGTCAATTGTTTCCCTTCACACCAATTTCTGAAAAGATACGAATTAGCGACATCTTGTGAAATCCTACTAAAATAGTGGTAAACTAAACCCTACCCGCCCTACCCCCAGTGACCCATGGTTCCTCCTGCCCCATCGCCTCACTGGGCGCCTTGCGACCTCCACGTTGGGACAGCAGCTCTCGCAAATGCGCGAAACATTGGAGGGAACGGAGCCGGATCACTGCGTAGCTGCTCCACAGCAGCCAAATGTAAAACCTGGGATGATTAACGGGCCCCACTTCGATTTACCATGATTTTTCTAATAGGTGTTGCTAATTTAATGGTCTATAATGGTTTATAACCTACAGGAATAACAACGACCATATTTCATCCCATATATCATAGGGGAGATATTCCATTACTCTAACTACCATTTACTAAGGATGCACTGCCAAGTGGCCAGGCCAATGGGTTAAATTCATGGGTTAGACTCTAACCAACTTGATCGGGTGTTTCCCTGGCATTTTGGGTATCGAAACTTGATGGGATTGAACCAACAAACATGGTGATTTAATGGGATATGTCATCGGATCTTTTTCTGGGGATCTCCCATGGCAACTTGATACCGATATGGGTGTAATTCATGGGGGGTACCCTCATTTATGGCAATGTAAAACCAGTTGCAATGGGCTCTATTGATTGTCTTTACGGTTTCACTGCCAGCAGCCGCAATGGGCTTAATAATCTTGATATGGGATGTCCGGTTTTAATGCCAGCTGGGGTTCAACTTCCAAGTCAAATGGGTGTGTAAACCCTGACCAGTTGCAAAGCTGGTTTCTAGTGGTTTAGGTTTGCAAGTCAACTGCGAAAAACATGTGTTTTGATGGACAGGTATCTAGAGTACTTAAACACTCATCTTAATCTTGGGGTGCGGTTTGGGGTTGTCTTTATGGCGTGAGTTGGGATATAAGGCCTGTAATTCTGGGATGATGCACATCTAATTGTTTGACTAAGTAGGTGACAAGTACCAAATCATGCATGGTTGATACATGTATGAATTATCCCTAGCTATATACTGGATGATGCACCTTAAGCTAAGGAATGACCACAAATGACCACAATAACCTTGGTTGGTTTCCCTCAACGCAATAACCATGGTCCTGATCAACAGCCCAACATGACCCATTTCATGGCGGTTGAGTCTCCACTTCTACGTAAAACCACCAGGAATCCCAAGCGGCTTATCCATCAGTAAACTAACATAGATCATCATAGGTATGGAAAACCCATCATAGAGACATATAGAGACCATGTCCAAAGGAAACCACCATGGATTTCCATAGCTTTATGTAAAAACTCCAGGGTAGCCCAGGCGCAGGAAATGATAGTCATTCAGTTCCAGCTCCAGGATCCTCTGCAGATCAGGATGGAGCTGTTCCCCATCGCCTTGCAGAACGCGTGGCAATTTGACATGGAAATTCTTCATGCAGCTGATTGACAAAGTCAAATATATACAGTGACTCACCACCAAAAAAAGAAAAGGTCATATATATATAATTTATTATTTATTTATTTATGTACTGTATGTATGTATGTATGTATGTATGTACGTACGTACGTACGTATGTATGTATGTATGCATGTATGTATGTACGTACGTACGTATGTATGTATGTATGGACATATGTATGTATATTATATATATATATATATGGGCCACATATACGCGCGATTTGTGTACCACTATTTGAGAATCGAGACTTCTCCATCTTTGGGGTTGATCATGTTTGTTTTTTACCCCTGGCTGTCTGATGCTTTATGTCTCACCAGGAAACATGTTATTTGGTGTGAAGAGAAGAACGCGCAGGGTAGACAACCTTGAAAGCATCGCCGTTTTCAATCCAAGCAACTCCACATCTGCCACAGCAACTCCAAGCTGCAGCTCACGAAAACCACTGGCATGGCAGTAAACCTCAGATCAACGCCCAAAAAATCCAAAAACGCCGATGAGCAAAACGCCCCAAATCACTCAGTGGCCTGGTGGCCTGCTTTATCCGATGTTGATCCATCTCCATCCCATCTTGCCCCTTGGCACTTCATCCCCATAGATGCCATAGATCCAAGGAACACCACCATCACCAGGCTGTGACCCAGGGACAACATTGGGGTATCCACGTGTCTCAGCAGCGCATAAGCCACACATCCAAAGGGCCAAAAGATCAACATCTGCAGCCCGCGGAAGAGGATACTTGCCTCGATCGATTTTTTGGAACAAAACAACATGGAACCGATGGAACCCCCAGGAAAAGGATTTTGCTGGTCAATTGGGAGGAGGATGTTCCGAATTTTGAAATTATCATTTCTCGGGGCCACGTTCAGTTTCTGGGTGAAAAACATGATACCCTCCATTCCAAAACAACACGCCGTCAGCAAATACGTTCAAGTTTTGTGTCCACACTTGGAGCCACACGCAGTTTGGATGAAAATGGCCGGTTAAGATCAACTACAGCATGGTCAAAAATGCCAAAAACGATGTTTGAGTTTGAAGTTCTGACCCATGCCGACCAGGAATGGAAGGTGAGCCAACTATGTCACGGACCAGCACGCAGGCAAACCAGGCCAGGAAAATCAGCAATGGCAGCATCAACTTCCAATGGACCTGGAGGCATCTGCAAAGCGGCCGGTAATTCAGGACGATTCCACTGACCCAATGAGTTTGGTAATGACTGAATAGCATATTCTGATAATTTCCACTGACCCAAATTTCTATCCGAGTTCCGGACCAAAGTTGAGAGGTATGGCAACGTCCGTTCCAGCGCTTTGAATCGTGCAAGGGCTTCTCGCCGCGAGCACCGCAAATCAAAGTTGTCAGAGGAGTTGCAATAGATGCCTTGGATGCCATGCAGCCCCGCAAGTTATGTCATGGTATATGTGAGTCCACTTACTTTCTGAGGTCATGTAAACCCATCAACAACATAATCCCTCTATATCCTCTATATATCCTCTATATATCCGCTATATATCCTCTATATCCTCATCCTCATCCTCATCATCATCATCATCATCATCATCATCATCCTCATCCACACAGAATACCATGAATGTAAGTGCAGATCGTACATCTAAGAGAATCAAACTCTTGTGCACATGTCACGTGTTCACTACAGGGCAAAGCAGCTGGCAACGCACTGAAGCTGCTCGCTGGATCGAATCTCTTTCTTGCTGTACCTGGTTCAAACATTGGCAGATTGGGCCTGTTCACTGGCCTTAAGTACCGGCTTCTGCACCCCAGGCCGCCGCCTATGCCACATCTGGCCCGCTACTGCGTTGCGGTGCGACCAATACTGGCCATGGTGAAAGGAGAAGCCTGGCTGCACGTCAAGTAACAGACTGCAACACACTGCAATTTGCATCGAAGCTACTTTTTTGCTTGAGCTCAGCAGCCTTCCAGATTCGCAAAGCTTCTTGATCCAAGGACAAGCATTGCTTGGCTTGTCTGCAATTCTGATATGCTTCTCCCCGTATCCTGCGGTCAAACGAAGGGACCCGAAAAGACCCCGACCCTCGAAAAGGGTATGTGCTCAATTCGGGCAGAGGATTTGGCAAAGGGATGGTGGTACCCCCGAACAAGGAAACATTTACAGAAATTCCATGAAATTATATATCATTACATATTCATAATTCGATAACTGAATTATAATTTGAGAAAAAAAACATGGTGTCACGCAAATCTTCACGGAAATTCCAACCCAGTAATTTCTCCGAGCCTCCTCCCAGTCCAACAAGACATATGACTTTCGGCGCAGTGCTGTTTGAGTCACTGAGCACATGCAATTCTGCAGGCTCGTGCCGTTGCATTCTGCCTGGTGAAGGCAAGGAAATCAACAAATCCCAAAACAACAGATTTTGCCCGAAAATTTGATACCCCAAAATTCGATGGTTGATCATCCTTTTGAAATTGCCATTTTGGGGTATGCCCCATGTTCAGACCAACCTATTTGGAACATAGACTTTTTGAATCCACTCATTGCTCCCGCCTTGGCGAAAGTTGGTGCCTGTGGGTCCTGTGGCTCCTGTGGATCCCAAACTTGCACGGAATATCGAAACTCAGACCTTGGAGGCGAGAGCGATCGAGAGCGTGAATCAGTTGAATCTGTTGAATCTGTTGAATCTGTTGAATCACTGTTGAATCACTGTTTTTGCTGCTGAAATTTTGGTTTTTGCTTCCAAAGTCGCCCACTGTTTGGGTTTGGAATGGTTTTGATCATCTAAACACATCTACTTGAGGCATACAGGGCTCAACCCCTGCCCAGGAACAGCATGGTGGAAGGCTGCACCGTGCACACCGTGGCTGGCATCCAACGTCCCAACCACGGGGGAGGCGCCAAAAATCGCGAAGCGCCACAGGCCAAGAGGTCGCGATCGATCCTGGCCGCGATGCTCAAACCTGGTCTCCTTGAGAGTGTGGGGTTTAGGAGTCCCAACTCATGGAGGTTTCCTGAAATGGAGGTACCCCCAAAATCATTCATGGTTGTAGGATTTTCCATTACCATCCATTTTGGGATACCCACATTTATGGAAGCCCCCATATATATAATATATATATATATGATATATATTTATGTATATTATATATATACATATATATATATACATAAATATATATATATACATAAATATATATATATATATATATGTCAAAGGGAACGTAGTGAGAGCATACAAACAATTCATGCATGGGACGCCATTATGGCTCAAGACCCCCTGCGTGTGTAAAAGAGAGCATTCGCTGCCTGCCATGTTCACTGGGTCCGGAAACTACCAGTAAGGCAGACACCACTTGAGATATAACATCCAGAACAAGGATCGATTTGTTCACAGGTTATCAGCCGTAGGGCTCACTTCTCCCGCCGGGAGAGTGGTACCTGCGTGCTGGTAGCCGGACCTTCTGAGCAATTGATTGAGGACGCAAAGGACCAATCAGCTCACCATCGCAAAGATGCAAGGCGGCAGCGGAGATTCGCGCACCACGCAGTTTACCTTCAATGAGAACGCTGCTATGCCGGTCGAGGAGGTGAATCAATCTTCCCCTGGCGACACGGCAGACAGTGGCGGGATACGCTCTACCCGAACTACACAGTCCGGATGGCAAGTCACATCAAACAGACGAAGAATATCCACCCAAAGTACACCTAGATCTTCTCGAAACAGTGCTCGGAGTGATGTTGTCCGACAAGGGCATCGACCATCTCGAGGACGTACTACTCCAAGGGACAGATCCACCAGGGCCGTGACCGACCGAATTGGTGAGAGGACCGGGGATAGTCGTGTTAAGAGGAGATCAACGGATACTTCTGTGGCTAGTGAACCTATTGCCATGATAGAAGAACTACGGGCACAATGTCAATCCCTACGTAATCAGCTGAACAACATGGAAGCATACGCTGCATCCAGGGATCAACTGATTCATGACATCGAGATCAGGTTCACTGAGTATCTTCGGGAACACAATCAGAATGTATTTGATGAGGTCAATGCACTCAATCATAGATTGTCATGTTCCGCAAATGAGGTTGCAGAATATCAAGCAGAACTAATGGTAGCATCTCAGGAAGATGAAGGTGCAACAATACGCATCCAAGACCTTGAACGCCGAGGTGCCCTAATGGAACATGGTGCACGACGGATCCATCAACGTGGTATGGAGATCCAGGAGGAGTACAAGGATGAAGTACATCACCGTCAAGGACTACTGGGTAATACGGAGGCAAGACTACAACAACTTCATCAAACCAATGTCTTAACCACCGATATTGCCAATCGACTATACACTGAAGGTCAAGAAATGCAAAATGATTTCCAGAACTCCATCATGGAATATCGTAATCGATCTGAAATGGCATCCTCCTCTAGTAATCAACTTGAAGTGATTAGCCAGCAACAGTCAATTGCAGTTCATGAATTATCTGAGCGAAATCAGCTATTGAGTGAAGCCTTGATTCAGTCTCGTAAACAGGCCGAGCTGTATGAGAGCAGTATTGATGAGATCACTAGGGAATCTAGGAAGAAGGTGTTCGAGGCAAATCAGGCCAAATTGGAAAGTGATCTGAAGCATCGAAACACTGAACATGATACCGTCAAAAGAATTGCATCATATAGGAACCAAGAGGCCGAAGCAATATCTCACCTGAGGCTTGAATCACAGGCTAGTGCAAACTCGATCGCAAGGGCAGAGCACTATGAAGAGCTCTATGCCAACGAGCAGAAGATGAACTGCGAATTGAAGGATGAGATCAAGTTGCAGAACACGAAGTTACGAAGATCATTGACTCAGGGTTCTACGACCGACGGTCGTGGCCCCGAAGAGATGCTTGTTGAAGATCTACGTAATCAAGCTAAGATCGCTCAAATTAGGGTTCAGGATCTAGATCATGAAGTTCATGAATGCTTACAGGAGAACTTGTTGTTAAAAGAAAGATTGGCTGAAGTTGCGGATGTAGGGGCGTCGTCCCTCACCAATGCTGAGGTCCGAACTCTAAGATCTGAACTAGAGAGTGGGCGAAAATTGAAATTAGTGAGTGGTGTTCAACAATATGAGAGATCATGCATGTTCATGGGGGAAATCCAGGATAGGGATGAAAAGATTGGCATCAAGAATTCTGAGATTGTCGACATGAAACGTCACTTAGATGAACTGAGAAAGAGTCTCAAGGATTCTGAAACATCTATGACTAGGATCAATCCTGACACACTTCCCTATTCGGCAGGCATTCCCAACTCCGATCTAGCATCCAGATTGGTCATCGACAAACTGGAGAATGACGTGAGTGAGGCTAACTGTGAAAACGCTATTCTGAAATCTTGGGTCTCGCAGATCGACAAGGAGTTGACTTATGAGACAAATGTAGCTCATTCCTATCGTGGGCATGCTTTACCTCCTCAACAACCACAGCATTCTCAATCAAGCAAAAGAATCGCTGATCTATTGAAAGAGGTTGACAACAAGATCGCTGGCGGAACTGAGAGGGAATACTACAAGCCACCGAGTGGATGGGGCGGTCCGCCTGACCCTGATGGACCTCCGGACCCTTTCGGGCCTAATGGTCCAGGACCACCTCCTGAACCTCCTGGTTTGCCTTCGGTTCGAGGATCACAACGCGATTCAGCAGATGATGTCTCCACAGCGGCTTACACTGCGGAAGAAGTACCAAGAATGTCAAGACGAGAGGCTGACAAAGTCTATGTTAGTCCATGGCCAAAGCAACAGAATCTTGGGGTTTGGCAATCAGATCTCATCAAGAGTGTTGTCCTTTCGGCAAATGACGGGGATAAAGCCGCATGGGAGGCATGGCTACAGCCGGCTATTCGACCTAATCCTGACATCGAGCTGTTGAATGACAGTGGGGGGCAACGGTATCAGTCCATCGACGCCAAGTTGTCAATCGCATTGTCAAACGTGATAGCCCAAGCCGGTGATGTTGCTCGTCATGTAGCGATCAAATTGAGATTGAGAACACAAAGTCATAGCCGAAGAGGAACCTACGTCATGGGACGGGAAATCTTGGCTTTGATTCTGGAGCACTTCAGAACCCCAGGTCAACGAGAAACATCCTTCACCATGGAGCACATCGTATCGATGAAGTATCTCGGTGACTCGAACCTAGAAGTGTTCTACGAGAAATGGATGGAGATGGTATCAAACATGATGCCGGATGACGTACCTCCTGATGATTGGCTTCGTGATGCTCTATACAAGAAGATTCGAAATTCGAGTCTTATGATGTTTGATATCAAGCAGTACGAGTCATGGATGGAAGGAGACCAAAGACGAAATTATCGCTACCTGTTGGATGTCATCGAAAGGCATATCTCCAGAATCAGAGAGGACAAGCATGTGGCAGCCAGAGAAAAGTATGCGAGAGACTTTGCAGGCGGCGGCAAACCTTCAGCTCCTGCTCCGAATCCAACTGCTGCTGCACCGGATGCAAATCCAAAAGCGAAGCCTAAAGCTACTCCCAAGGAGAAGGCAGCGCCCAAGGCGAAGGCCAAGGCCGATGCAGCTCCAGTTCTACCATCACCTCAGCCTAAACAGCATGCAAAAGGAAAAGGAAAAGGTCAAGGGAAAGGGAAGGACCGGTCAAACGGCCGAAGTACCAGCCCCAGATCCAAGAAGAAGATCCCATGCCATTTCCATTTCATCAAGAAAGCATGCAGAAAAGGCAAGGATTGTGAATACAGTCACGACCAAAAGGTATTTGATGCAAACAAGAATGCAAAAGGCAACGGTCGGAAGCCAGGAACTCCAAGAAGTCAGTCTCCGGCAAACAAGACCAAGAAGATTGATGAACCATGCTGGCATTGGGCTAAGGGCAAGTGTCGGTATGGAGACAAATGCAACAAACGCCACGATCCTCATCTATTCAACACTGCTCCAAACACTGAAGCACCAAGCTCAAAGGCTACTCCTGCACTTATCCATGATTGGAGTGATGATGAAGGGACGTTCCATAAGGTTGCATCGAACGTGATCAAGAAGAAGATCAGATTTGATGAGTCTAAAACTCAAGTTCAAACTTACGTGAAGAAGGACTTCGTGAAGTGCAGCCGGAAATCCCAAACCATCCCCAAAGGTCATGGTAAAGTTGGCAAGCCCACTGATCAGATAAGGAAAGATGAGCAATGGTCTTATTCATGCAGGTTAGCTTCGAGCCGAGGGAAAGCAATGGCTATTCTGATCGATGAGAAGGGTGAACACAGTGACATTGATGAAGTCCTGGTCATAGTCGGCCCTAGCATGGACATCCTGATCAGACTCGACGTCGAGGACGGTGAGGTGTCCAGGGAAGTTTTTGTGGAAAACTATGTTCAGCATATTGAAGGTCGATATGGTAAAAGGGGCAACACAATGTGTATCACTGTTCCTGTTGAGGAGAGAGATAAGAGATTCATATTGGATTCTGGAAGTGGTCATGATCTCATTTCATCCACACGAATAAGTAGAATGGATCTCCCAACATACGATGACAAGGTCGTCAACTTCCATACAGCAAATGGGGTAACGTGTTCGACCAAACGTTCAAGCATCAAGTTCGAGGCATTCAGCGAACCAGCAGAAGCACACATCCTGGAGGATACACCTTCCGTGCTCTCAATGGGAAAGCGGTGCGTCGACCTCGGCTATTCATTTGTATGGCCGGCAGGACGAACTCCATTCATGTTAGATCCCAATGGCAACATCATCGAAATGACCATCAAAGACTACATTCCCTATGTGAGCGTCGATCAAGAGAAGAGAAAGTTGAGATCATCCTGTGTGGAGAAGATTATGGCAGTTCTTGATGACGGATGCTCAACGTCAGAAGGCGAAGGTCTGTTGGTCATTGATGGGGAAAGTGGAGATGAGCTTGAGGATCTTTCCGACACCGTTG